ACAGGCCGCCGTGACTCGGAAATGCCACTCTTCACTCGTTCGGAGTCACACCGTCTGCTACGCGCTGTAGGCACCTGCCGGGGACAAGGGGCTCGTCCCAGGCTGGGGGAGCTGTCCCGGAGCAGAGGTCGCTAGCTGGGGGGGCGGGCGCGCGCCTGCCCCTGGGCTGAGCTCGCGTTCTCCGTGAATGGCGAAGGTTTCAGGGTTTCCTTTTCTGTTTCAAAATCACTTGGTAAATCTCTTCAGGAAGCCAGCGGCGGAGGAATGAGGAACAAAGTCTGCAGGCCTCGACTTCCTAAGGGTCAAGGGCAGCCCCCTCCCTGGGAGCACGCGCGGTCCCCCTCCTGGTATGCGCACAGGCTGCACTCCCAGAGCGAACAGGTCCCTTTCTGAGGACGTGATGGGCTGTCCAGCCCGGCTGGGCGGTCAGAGGCGCAGCCCGGTGCGGAGAGGGAGGGGTTCTGGCTTCCGGGGTTGGGGGTGGGGCACAGGTCCCGCTGGGCAGTCCCCTCCAGTTCCTGCACCTGCCCCTCCCCTGGGGGCTGTGGCATGGTTGCTAGCTCTGAGGTGTGTCACCCCTCTTATGGGCATCCCTACACCCCAGTTCCCCAGTTTAACTTGACACCTGCTTCTTCCCAGGACCTGACCCTTGATATACGTGGCAACCTTCTTTTCAGACGTGTGTTTTTTAAAAGATTGTATTTATTTATGTTTAGAGAGGGAAGGGAGGGAGTTAGAGAGAAACATCAATGTGCGGTTGCTGGGGGCCACAGCCTGCAACCCAGGCATGTGCCCTGACTGGGAATCGAACCTGTGGTGCTTTGGTTTGCAGCCCGCGCTCAATCCACTGAGCTACGCCAGCCAGGGCCAGACGTGTTGTGTTTTAAATTATTGAAAAGGCAGGGCCTCTGGGCTGTGGTCAGGGAGAGGGGAGGGGTGCTCGCCTGCTCCCTCCCCTCCCCTACACTGTTTCTCCGCACCCCCAGCCCCTGACCCACATAGAGCACCCCTGACCACCTCCCCTGATTCCAAATGCAGCAAGCCCACCCAACCTCTGACTGCCGGGTGCTGCGGCACCCTCTGGGCACAGCAGGCTGCAGGTGGGAGGTCAGGTGGATATGTACTTGGCCACGCCCGTTCCCCCCCACCCCCCGGGGCCCTGTGCTCCCACCCGCCCGAGGTCAGTGCACTGTCTACCACCCAAAGGCCCCAACTCCCAACTCTCAGCTCGGACTTGGCAGGGCCCGGGTGGCCGCAGCCGGCGCAGGCGCCCTGTGAGCAGACCGCCTGTCCGGACGATGCTCCTCCCGCCACCTCGCGCCCCAGCTCACCGGTCAGACCAGCTCAGGAGCTTCTACAGCCCTGACCACTGGACCTTTTCCTCCTCCTGTCCTCTTCGAGAACCGGCCTTGCGCATAGGTTCCCCAAGGAGTCCCTGTGAGCCCCTTCAAGTCTTAGGGCCCAGAGCAAAGACTCCTGGGGACACTCTCAGGAACAATTCCTCCAAGGAGACCCTACCTCTGGCCTAGGCGGCTCCCCGCCTTCAGCATTCCCGGCGTCTCGCTGTGCGTCTCCGTGTCTGTGTGTCTGTGTGTCTGCGCTGCCCGCGGAGGCAGGCGGCTCCCTGCTGACCCGCCTGTGCCCAGGGAGTCTCCGCTTCAGGCGGGATCCACCACCGTAGACCTGCCTCCTGCATGACGTCCTTGCTCCTCCTGGGCGCTCCCTAGCCTGAGCTGTGGGGGAGGGGCAGCAGGTGCCCCTCCCCTAGCACCGCCTGTGAGCGGCCATTCATTGGCTTGCCTACCTGCCGCCAGACAGGCTGCTGCACCACCTGTGAGGTCTGGACTGGACCCTCATTCTCTACCTTCCTGGGGACCTGGGCCACCTGGGTGTCCAGCAGCCTTGGTCTGCTGGGCGCTGGCTCCCAGCCTCTGTGAACAGTTCAAGGGCAAGCGATCCCTACACACCGGTCTGCCAGCAGCACTCAGCACCCAGCGCTGGCCTCCTCCCATCCCTCCCGCCTGAGGAGATCTGCAGGGATTAGGTTAGGTTAGTTTAACTTTATTTATTTAGGGGTGATTCGGTTAGTTTTAGAGTGCCCTGTTGTGCTGTATGCTCAGTGCACAGCATATTTCGCCAGTTCTAGGACCCTTACTTTTTTCCATTTCTGAAATCAAATGTGTCTGCGGCCGACGGTGCGCGGCAGTTTCCCAGCAGTTGGCTTCCCAGCAGCTGGTACAGCCTCGAGTCTCAGCCCCGGCAGCGGCCGAAACGCCCCTACCCGACGTGCTCTCTCAGACGCTCATCCCCAGACGCCCCCCAGCTGGGGGCCCTTTTCCAGACCCGCACACGGGTCATTCGTTCCCGGGGGACCTTCTCTGACGTCTTCACGTCCTTTTCCCGCGCGCCCAGTGGCTTGTCACCTCCGGCTGCGTATCGTTTCAAATGACCTTTGTTATTCCGCTCGCTTTGGGGTTTGAACCGATCTGAGTTACTTTACACGGCCCGGCTGCGCCTGCTCAGATGTGTCTGGTTCAGGAGTGCCTGGAAGAGGTTGCTTAACGTGGGCTCTGTGGAAACAAGGGAGCTTATTTTTTTTAAATGTTCTTAAAAGCCCTGGCGGGTGTAGCTCAGTGGATTGAGTGCAGGCTTCGAACCAAAGCATCGCAGGTTCGATTCCCAGTCAGGGCACATGCCTGGGTTCTAGGCCACGGCCCCCAGCAACCGCACATTGATGTTTCTCTCTCTCTCTCTCTTTCTCCCTCCCTTCCCTCTCTAAAAATAAATAAATAAAATCTTTAAAAAAAAATAAGTAAAGTATACAATTAATCAGAAAACCCCAAAATCTAGTTATTAAAGAAAATGTTCTTAAAAACCTTTTTGTTAAACTCTACAAATTTACGAATAGCTTAAGCCCACACTCAAGCACGCACATGCACGCCCTCACACACAGGTTTACACACGCGTGCTGTGTGTGTGAACACGCAGGGACACTTGAGGGGAAACAGAGGCCGCGTGGGAAGTCCCCAGGGCCAGGCCGAGGGGTGGGGTTGGCTCTCGTTGAAGGTGAAAGCACTCTCACAACAACTCGGGGCTGGCCGCCGGGAGCAAGGGCTCAGGGACGGGACTGGTCGCGGTCCTCCCCGAGACCTCCGGGGCTGCCCCAGTCTGGGTCAGCCTGCCTGGTCTGCCCTCCTGAGGCCACTTACCTGTAGCCCTGAGACCAGGCGGGGACGCCACGCCATCCTGCCACGTCAGGCCCAGCCGTGCCAGAGCAGGCAGTACCTGCCCTGAAGGGGAGCGAGTCCAGGCGGCCCAGCCACACTCAGCCCCAGACCCTGGGGTGCGGTGGTCCGGATGGGCTTTCCAACGTCTGTCCTATTTGCCCTTTGGCCCCCTTTTCCACGTGTGCTGGGCAAGATGGCACTGGCAGCCCGAGGGGGAGCCGTTGGGCCCCCGACCTCCAACTCTAAAATGGCAGTTTCTCAACTCATTAAAAATATTTTTTTATTGGTTGATTTTGCGAGAGGGAGAGAGAAATCAATTTGTTGTTCCACTCATTTATGCATTCATTGGTTAACTCCTGTATGTGCCCTGACCGGGGATCGAACCCACAACTTTGGTGCACTGGGATGGCACTCGAACTGAGCTACCCAGCAAGGGCCTCTGGACTCATTGAAAAATCACCTGACTGTCATTGCACAGACAGTGGTTATGGTAACAGGGGTGAATCACGGGCACAGAGGGCACAGAGGGTTAGGACCAGCTGCGCTCCCACGAGGCCGAGGAAGCCCCGCCCAGAGGAGGGAGCCTCTTGGTGCTCGTCCCTGTGTCCGCCAATGGCCTGAGTGGGGCCCCCTGCTCCCGTCCAGCTGCCCCAGGCCCACTGTCTCCCCTGGAGCCTGGATGCACCTTCCTCCCCCCTCAAGGCGGCCTCCCTGCTCGGCATCTTTTTTGGCTGAATCAGGGATACCCTGCCTCACCGTGTCTCCCTTTGTCCTCTGTGCCAGCGGGCAGATGGACAGTGCCAGTCCTGGAGACAGGGGGCACCAGGCAGTGGCAGGGCAGGGTACTGGACTGCCCGGAGGAGAGAGAGGCTGCTGGGTTAGGAGCTGCAGGGCACAGCACGGATGGGAGGACAAACCTCCTGGTGGTTCCCCGGCCCTCCCTGCTGCCCGTCAAGCCCTCGGGGGAGCCGGCAGGGGCGGGGCCTCAGAGCCCTGGGACCTCAAGCAGGATGAGTGACACTGGGTGTTGGGGGGGGTCTCCCCTAAATAGAGCTTCCCCCAAAGGGGCCGGCTGCCCAGGGACATCCTGGAACTTCCTGCTAAAGTCACAGAAGAATAACCGGCCCCAGGGAGTTACCAATTATCTCCTGGCTCCTCTGTCACCGACAAGAGATACAGATCAGGGAAGCTTCTTGTGCTGACTCATTTTCCGAGCTTTGATAAGACAGAATGGTGGCAAATGAAAAAAATATATAAAATAAAAGCAAAACCATTGCTAGGATAGACGTCCTGTATTTAAAAATAAGTGATTTCTTTGTAAGGGGTGTCTTCCCCCACCAAACACACACACACACACACACACACACACACACACAGTCTAGAAAAACATTCTGAATTGTTGAAAATAGGCGTCTCCAGGTTGTGGGATGACAGGCAATTTATTATTTTTTTTAATTCTGTATTTTCTAGTTTTGCCATAATGGAAATATATGTTACTTGTATTAAAAATACATTTTTTAACTGAAAGAAAAAAGAAAACCTTTCAAACGGTCCTACGTGTGCCCCTTGCAGAGCGGCTTCCGGGGGCCGCTGGTTACGGGATGTGAGGTGTGGGCATAGCAGGCTGACCTGGCCCAGGGCTTTTCCTGGACGTGGTCCCTCCCTCGGCCCCCCGGGCTCCGCTGCCCGGACGGCTGTGGATGTGGTGGCCTCTGCGGTTGGGTGACGTCCCCGCCCGTCCAACCCCACCTCTGTTGGGGGTTCTGTCCGCAGGCGTCCGAGGGTGTCCCTCTGAGGTTCTTCACCAAGCTGGACCAGCTCATCGAGTTCTACAAGAAGGAGAACATGGGCCTGGTGACCCACCTGCAGTACCCGGTGCCGCTGGAGGAGGAGGACCCGGGGGATGAGCCGGAGGAGGAGACAGGTAGGCGGGGCAGGGGACAGGCGGCTGCCTGCTGTGGGAGGTGCCTGCGGGACCCTGGTCTCTAAGCAGCGGGTGGCCAAGAGGCCCTGGGGGGTGTCTCTCGTGACAGGTGCTCACAGGTGCTATAGACTAGGTGGGTTCGATGATCAGCAGGAGCCAGCAGGACACAACGGTTAAGGACAAGTTAGGACACAGCTCTGGAGTCAGATGAACCTGCGTGGGCCATCCTGCTCCTCAGCATCTTAGTTGAGTGGCCTGGGCTGAATCACTTAACCTCTCTGACCTGATGACTTCTCTTAAAGAGACAGTAAAAACACCGTCTCCCTCTCAGGGTGTTGTTAAATGAGTTGATAGGTACGAGCCCAGAACCTAGTGTACACAGTAAGCGCTCAATCAATGCTGCCATCATCTTCAGAATAATTAGCTGCATTTCACTAGGAAGAGAGTGAAAGAACAGGAAATCCTTGCAGCTAACTGGAAGGGCGAGAAAGGAGTTTCTTTGTATCCTCATTAAAAGAAAATGCAAGGGCTCTGGCTGCTGTGGCTCAGTGGATTGAGTGCCAGCCTGTGAACCGAAAGGCTGCTGGTTCGATTCCCAGTCAGGGCACATGCCTGGGTTGCGGGCCAGGATTCCAGTAAGGAGCACATGAGAGGCAACAACACATTGATGTTTCTCTCCTTCTCTTCCTTTCTGTCTAAAATAAATAAATAAAATATTTTAAAAGAGAAAGAAAATGAAAGGTACAGACCCCTAAAAAGTCCTGTGTGGGGTGGCCCCGCTGGGTAAGCCGCAGAGGGACATGGACCAACAGAACAGGACCCCTCGGGGCAGACGGTGCAGGCAAGAGCTCACAGGGCAGGGGCGGAGGGGGGTGGGATGCCACCCTGGGGGAGCCCTTCTTTGCCCCTTCAAAGTTCCCTTCCTGAAGGAAAAGCCTGAGACACAGAATTGAGCCCTTCGTTTGAGGAGGTCAGGACTCCTAAACTCCAGGGCCTGGAAAGAGCCCGGTCGGTCTCCAGGGTCGCCTCTGAGGTGGGGCAGATTAGAGCAGGGACAGTGAACGGTGGGGGGCACCTGGCCTCTCTCCCCACCTGACCCTGGCAGCCACGTGCCGGGCGCCCCGCCGTTCATCCTGCTGCCTTGGGCTGGCCTGTGGGCCACGGCCCTTCCTCTGCCCTTCCCGGTCACCCGCTTTGAGCTCCTGCTCGGCTGGCTCTTCGCTGCCTCCGGTGCCTCGTCGGCTGGGTGGGGAGGGCTGGGGCCAGGCAGAGGGCTAGAGGGTTCCCAGCGGACCGCAGCTCCGGGGGCTGAGAGGGACCCGGGGAGGTCGTGTCTCCCTGCAGCTCTGAAAGAGCCGCAGCTGATACGTCCACATGGGAGTCCAGGGTCGCTCACGGGGGGCTGTGCCACAGCCACACATCTATCCCCGCCCCTCGTTGTCCCCAGGCAGCCGGTCTTGGCCTTGACGCTGAGAGGCCGTCCTGCAGAAATGTCCTCCCCACGCTCGGTCCTCACCAGCCATAGGGCCTCCGCCCAGCTTTCCCGCCCCCCTGCGGCCGGCCTCCTGGACACACGCTCTGTAAGGGCCCGAAGGGGGGAGCAGCCTGCTGACCACAGGCTCTGCCTCCCCACGGGAAGCACGGGTGTCCTCAGGGCGCTGCTGTCCCTGTCCCCACGGGGCTCACAACAGATACCACCACCTCGGGAAGCAAAGAGCCCCACCAGGAGAGGAAGCGAGGGCTGAGCCTTTAAAGAGGTAGCTCGTGGCCAAGGCCGTGGGCGGCCGTTTGGTGCGGGAAGGGGCTCAGGCAGGAGGTCCGGGACCCCAGGGGCTCAGGACCCCGGTGCGCCCACCCGCGGTGCGTGGAGGACGGAAGTTCTCCGAAAGGTGGATGTGCAGGAGTTTTCCTTTCCAGACCGACTTCAAGTCACGTGCCCTGTTTCAGTTCTCTCGGCGAAGGAAGACCCCTCCGTTTCTTTTGTCTCTGAGGGCCTGGGGGGAGGGGCGGGGAGGAGGAGGGCAGGCAGGGGCTGGAGGGAAAGCAGAGAAGGGGAGCAAGGAGAGGGGCGGGCTGTGAGTCCCGGCCTGCCTGCTCCCAGTCCTGCTGCTCCTCCTGTTCTGCGACCTGGGTCCCCCTCTGCCCGGTCGAGGCCCCTGCTGTGGCCCTGAAGCCTGGCCGTCCTGCTGAGCTGCCCGGGGCTGCTGGCTGCACCTGTCCGAGGCCAGCCGCTCCGCCCGGCACGGCCGTCAGACCCAAACGTCAGGCGTTTGTGGAGTGCCTCAGTGGGACCAACTGTGCTAGGTCCCCAGGGCTGAAGACCACTGAGATGAGGTCCCTGGCCTCAGTGGGCCCCCACCTTGCCAGGGAGGCAGGGAGGGCGGTGGCAGGGACAGTGTGGGCTCAGGTGGGGTCTGCAGCTGGGTGCCACAGCCTGGACCTCATGTGTGGGGTGGGGTCACTGCACAGAGGACCCAGGTGGCCCTCTCCGTGGGCCAGCAACCTAGAGAGAAGCTCACGCTTGCCGACGTGGCACGCCTGCTCTTGTCTTGGGTAGAAGGCGTCCCGTCTCCACCTGAGCTGCCGCCGAGAAACATCCCTCTGTCCACCGGGCCATGCGAGCCCAAGGAGGTCCCTCCCTCGATCGAGAACCCAAGAGCCGTGGAGGTCAGCCGGCCCAGCCTCTCCGAGACGCTGTTCCAGCGGCTGCAGAGCATGGACACCAGCGGGTGAGTGCCGACCCGGTGGGTCCCCTTGCAGACCCACCCCGGGGCCGCAGCACCCTGTGGGCAGTGCCCTCGGGGCTCACTCCTGGAGGTGCCCCTCCCACCCAGGACAGGTGGCTGTGGAGCCCACCTGCCGCCTGATGGGGCGCCCGAGGGAGCCCAGCTCACCCTGCGGCTCCACTGCCCCGGCCGTGGACGCCCCGCTCAGAGGCCCCACCTCTGCCAGGCTCCACTGAGGGGGGAGCCGCTTCCGGAATGATGTGCATCCCTCTCCTGCCCGCGGCGTGGTCCGGACACCAGGGGCCTGTGCTGCGACTCCCTTCCTGGGGCTCACTGCAGGCGGCGTCTCCTCCCAGCACCCTCCCTCTAGAGCCGCCCCATCTGCGGAGTCAGACGGCCCAGGCCCCAGGCGGGGGAGCCACCTGCCCTGCCGCCTGGACCAGCCACACGGCCCTTTCCTGCTCTGGGCCCCGCTCAAATGGGGGGTGCCTTCCTTGTCACCAGTAAATAGGCCAGAGCAATAATCACTTCTAGTGTGGCAGGGCCTGGGAGGCCCGCACGGCACGGCACAGCGCTCTCCCCCGTGGCGATGGGAGGCGGGAGGTGCACTCACCCTAATATTTGGAGTCCTCCTTGCTCTGACGCAGGGTTCCCAGCGCCTGGGCCTTCGTATGTTCCCAGGCTGGCTCCTGCCGGGCCAGGTTGACGGGGTCCAACAGCTTTTTTGCCACGGGGTCCATTTCTGTCTTAGGCCCGGGTCTTGCAAATCAGAGGCCCGGGCTTCAAGACAGGCCAGGGGGCCCTGGCCTGTGTGGCTCAGACGGCTGGGCACCGTCCTGCTTACGCGAAAAGTCGCTGGTTGGATTCCCAGTCAGGGCGCATGCCTGGGTTGAGGGTTCCGTCCCTGGTTGGGGAGTGTGTGAAAGGCACCCTTCTCTCTCACATTGATGTTTCTCTTCCTCTCTTTCTCCCTCCCTCTCCCTCTCTCTAAAAATAAATAAACATAATCTTTTTAGAAAAGGCCAGGAAGCTCCCTGAGGGGAACTGGCCCCGGCGCCCAGCATGTTGCCCAGCGTAGAGTAGGCACTAACTGCATGTGTGTGGAATGAATTCGGAAGTTGGTGCTCAGTAACTTCCACGCACTAATAATCTAGAAACACTTTTGTTTCTTGGTGAGAAAAGGGCCCCCCAGATGTCAGGCTGCGGCAACATCTCCAACTTGGAAGATCAATTTGAGGGCCGCTCACCCAACCACCCGATCTGGCCAAATACAAAGGAAACGCCCGCAGGTGCGAGCAAGCCTCCAGGTTGCTAGGATACCTGGCGTTTTACATTTCCGCCCTGCCACATCCTCTGATTCTCCCCCAGGCCCACCAGGCTGTGTGCCCTGCACGCTCTGAGTCTCCTGTGCTGTTTGCAATTGGCTAAGTACCCAGAGCTTTGACTCTGCTGATCCATTGTCCTGATTACTCTGATACATGCGTCTGAATAGCAAACGCTTGAGGACCTGCTCCATGCAGAGCCCTGTTCTCCAGGTTCAGGTGCGAGTGCAGCGACCTCCTGCGGGAGACAGGCAGGGAGCCCAGCGGTGCCAGCCCCTCTCCCACACCTCCCGACTCCGCCTCCTCTCCTGTCCTTCCTCTCCAGGGACAGCTGTTCTCGTGGGCCCAGGGCCCAGTGGGGCGGGGCGGTGTGTGCAGCCAGGGCCCTGTGCAGCGTCTTCTAGAGGCGTGGGGTGGGGGGGGGGGGGGGGGCGGCTGAGGGCGTGTGAGCAGGGGAGGCCCTCTCGCTCTGTCGGCCGACATGCCTTCCTGAAACCTCTGCTCGGAGTTGGGGATGAGTGAACGGCGTGTGGCGGAGGGACCGTGGTGGCCCGGTCCTGCCCTCTGTTCTCTTCTGGGTCACGAAAGACCCGGGCTCTTCCTTGGGTGCCGCAGCCCATCTATCTTGCTGGTGAAACAGCTTCGCACCCGGAGGACCGCCTGCAGGTTCTCCTGGATGAGACGCCCCCCCGCCCCCGCCCAGTCTTTCCTGCCGGTTCGTTAGATGGAATCGGCGGGGTCCCCGCAAACAGGAGACGCTGAGGCAGGTCAGCCTCTGCACCGCGGGGTCTCCACCTTGGGACCGCACTTTCCTGCCCCGGACATGGAAACACACGTGACTTCCGGTAACAAGGATTCGAGACATAACTTACGTCGGTGGTCACTGCAATGGTTCCGATACGTACCTTAGTGGCGCAGGGGGGATTTCGTCCCTTTTAGTAAGACGGACTTAGGCAGAAGCCGGACTCTTGTGATGCTGAGACTCAGAATAAGCACAGATTACACGGAAATATTACGACGACTGGCATGTAACTGGTTGCCGACTTCTCAAGCTAGAGGAGCCGGAATGTGTTCCTTTCTAGTCTTAAGAGCAACAGCTTGTCATACTTTCAAGGATCCTAACAGACAAACCAGCCACAAAAAAACCCCCACCTGGTGCCCGCCAGCTCCAATTTGATTATCTGCCCAGGCTGGAGCGGAGACTGTTCAGGCTGGCGGTGAATTTTTTTTCGCGCGGGCCAATAAACAGCCTTGAACCTCAGCCTCCTCGTCTGTGAAAGAGGAGTGACGCTGCCCGCCCGGGGACAACGGTCTGGGGAGGGCAGGAGCATGAAGTGCCTAGGAGGTGGCGCTCAGCAAATATTTGCTGAGACTAATTTTCATGACTAGAGGAACCCAGATTCAAAAGTGACCTGGAAAAATAAGTGCGGGGACACAGAACGTCGAGGTGTGACCGGACCCAGGGGGGTGGCCTGGGTGCCTCGCGGCCTGGGCTGCCCTCAGGGTGGGGGCCGTCGTGTGAGGCGCACAGGGGCGCCTACGGCCCATCAAGGGGCCGGACCTGACCCTGGACGGGGTGGGGAGGCCGAGGGCAGGGCCCCGGGGCCACCACTGCCACATCCCCAGCCCCCGTCTCTCGTCACGGAGCCCAGACGACTCGGCGCCCCCGACCGACACAGGTGGGGGCTGCAGGTGGCCTCCGGCTGTGACTGTGCAGTTGGCACGTGAGCCGGAACCACGGGCCGTCTGCAGACGAGAGCCTCCCTCGGCCCGCAGGTCCCGTGTTCAGGAGCAGGCGAGGCAGGGACACGGCTCACGGGACATTTTCCCAGCCTGTATGGGTGGGCTGCGAGGCACGGTCCCTCGTGGACCCTTTAATGTTGCTGGTGAGACTCGGGGAGCCGAGCAGGTGCGCCGATGCCCCCCCCCCCCCAGAAAGACCTCACCTCAGCGGGCGACCCTGACAATGCGAATTTCTTCTCCTCCCTTTTGGAGTTTGTGCCCAAAGGAACGAGCCATGCGTGTTCTCATCTCCGTGTCTTTAGGCTCCCGGAAGAGCATCTTAAAGCCATCCAGGACTACGTAGGCACTCAGCTCGCCCTGGACGCCGAGTTTGTGAAGACGGGCTCCAGCAGCCTCCCCCACCTGAAGAAACTGACAGTGTTCTTGTGCAAGGAGGTCTATGGGTAAGCGCGCCCTCGGGGGCCGGGGGGCAGGGGCGGGGCGGGCGAGGGAAACTGCTCCGTGGGGTGGCCCAGGGCTCCCCCCGTGGCTGCTGAAATCCCGCTGCCGTGCTCAGAATAATGGGGCACTCTGCAGGGCTTGGAAATCCCCGTGGGTGTTTCTAGGTTTTGTTTTCACGCTCTCTGAACTATATAACAGTTAAAAAAAAAAAACCTGAAGTCACTTGGAGGTCAGTTGCTATGGGAAGCGGGGGGCAGGATCTAGCATTGGAGGTGTGTGGGCGGCAGCCGGCACCTTTGACAAGTTCATTGGACACTTGAAGGGACTCAATTAAAGTCGCCCTGTTTTCTGTGTGGCTGGTGCCGGCCCAAGGGGGCTGGCGACAGCAGTCTTCCAAGTCAGCCGACTCGCCAGCATGTCTGTTTCCTAACACTGAGTTCGTTAAGTGACCAATTGGTAAGCGTTCCAATTTCGCTTAGACTTTTTAAATTTTTTTTAAAGATTTTATTTATTTATTTATTTTAGAGAGGGGAAGGGAGGGAGAAAGAGAGAGAGAGAGAATTAATGTGTGGTTGCCTCTCACATGGCCCCCACTGGGGACCTGGCCTGCAACCCAGGCATGTGCCCTGACTGGGAATCGAACCTGCAACGCTTTGGTTCACAGCCCACGCTCAATCCACTGAGCTATGCCAGCCAGGGCCTTTTTTTAAAATTTTACATTTTAATTTTATTCACATAAAAATTAATCTGACATTTAATTCATTTTCATTATTGGACGTACAACATTTAGGCTGGTCTGTCACCGGAAAAAAATCAGCACAAGGATTTTTTTTTCATGCTTTATTTAGAAGCTTGAAAAGTAGAAAAGAACATTCAAAAAACATCTGAAAGAAATCACAAGGAGCCAAAGGGATCCCATTATAACTAAGAGGTCAACATTGTGGTTGGAAAAAATTGCATTTCAGGTGGGGGAGGTTTTTTTGGCCTATACTGGTTTGGGTTTTATTACGGATTCAACAGTTTCAAAATTCTCTTGTCAATTTCTCTGGTGCTGTATCCATCTTCATCTAGTAAATATGCCAAAAAAAAAAAAAAACAACCCCACAAGAATCTATCATCAGTAATCAAATTGACCTTTCTTTCAAAATTTACCATCAGTACCTTTAGTCAATTTAACAAATAATTTCCTTGACCAATGGAGCACTCATCAAACTGGCCTGTCCGCTTTAATTTCAAGAAATTGGCTTTCCACTGATCCAGTTCTGGCCCCCTGGACCTAGCGTCGTTATTTATAAATTCCCATGGAGAGGAGTTTTTCCGTTCGATGCTGTTGTTGTAACTAGGGAAACACGCGCACACACGACACTTTGTAACTAACGGTTTCCTGATGACTGGTAACAAACAAGCTTTTGTTTCTGCTCGAGAGTGGAGAGCGGGTTCTTTTTTCGCCGCTTCCTTGTCCGGACGCAAATGCGCTTTAAAGTCGCTCCTCTAAGCTGCCGCAGTCACTCGGCACAGGCACGAGTCCCCCGACACCCCGTGGCTGGCTACCTGGGCTGCCCTGGGGTCCGGGTCGCCTGGCCTCGCAGGGCGGCGGCTTCCCCAGCACGACTGCCCTCCGGCGCGTTGTGTTGGCGGAAGAAGCCTCCTTTGGCTTCTGGCTGTTTCGTGCCTCTATTTACAGAGCAGCCAGGGTTAGAGACACCGTGGTGTCCCCCCCACGTAGTTGTTTGTCTTCAGCTTCGCAGAAAAAGCGATAGCAGACTCAGAGGCTTGCATAACTGAGAGGTGGAATTTTAGAAAATCTGAGGAACAAGATGATGTTTCCCGCCCCCCTCCCCCCCTTTCACTGCTGCTGGGGCCATTCCATGAAACTAACTATAAACTTGTCATTTTCAAGGGGATTTGGTTGGAACTGTTCTTCAGTTTACTGAGTCCGTGCAGGCACACACTCATTCATTCATTCATTCATTCACTCGACAAGGCCGTTTGGAAGGCATCCTCCGATCTCGGTGCCAGGTGCTGGGTGCCAGCAATGACCACGATGCAGGAGGTTCCTGCTCTTTAGACCCTGTGGGAGCTGACGTCTCAGTGAGGGGCACGAGAGCAGCCCAGGTGTGTCAGTCAGCAAACTAACTTCAGTCAGCACCATGGCAAAGGAAAGCAGGAAAAGGTGGTGGAGAGACACTGGGGGGGGGTGGTGGCGGTGACAGTATCCTGTGGGGGGTCAGGGAGAGAGGGCTCTCTGAGGCAGTGACGGGGCTGGCCATCCGGCGATTGGCAGAGGGATGTCAGGTGCGAGGGTCCTGAGGTGGGAATGGGGCGGGCCAGCCAGGAACAGGAGGAATGGCCGTGTGGCTGGAGCGTAAGGAGAGAAGGAAGGGGTTCGGAGCGGAGGTTGGGGGAAGGGTGGCCAGATTCAGCCAGTAAGACCCAGACGCCCAGCTCAGTTTGGATGGCAGATGAACCGCAAATGCTCTGTTAGTAGAGGTGCGTACCATGCAATGTTGGGAGAGGCTTACGCTAGTAGACTATCTGTGGTTTGTCTGTAATTCACGCTCGACTGGACATTCTGCGTTCCACCGGCCAGCGCTGGGCTGGGCCACAGCACGTCCTCCACCGTGCAGGGCCCTGCAGAGGTTTTAGAGGACTGGGCCGTGATGGGGTGGGGGCTGTGGTGCGTGGGCCCCGGGAGGTGGGCCCAAGGCGGGAGACCAGAGCGCAGTGGCTGTGGCTGTGACGTGGCGGCTGGGGGACGTTAGTTAGGTGACCCGGGGGCCGGGGGTCGTGTGGGCGCCGAGAGCTGGTGTGACCTGGGGTACGCTGGGATGGTAGAGCAGCCTGGTTGGATGTGGCGTGAGGAGGGGACACCCAGGGTGACCCCTAGATTTTTGGTGGGAGCAGCCGAGGGGGTGGCGATGCCAGCCACTGAAGAGTGGAAGTCAGGTGCAGGGGTTGGGGGTGGGGGGGTCTTCTCTGGGCTGCTGTTGGCTCGGGGTGCAGTCAGACATGCCGCCAGCCGAGCCGTCCACCCAGGACTCGTGCTAGAGGTCCGAGCCCGCGAGACCTCGAGGCTGGGGGGATACGCCGAGGCCCACCGGCATCCAGCTGGGAGACGGTGGGGGGATAAGGTCACTCAGGGAGACGGGGACCCGGGCTGGTTGATTAGAGGTGAAGTGCAGGAGGAGGGGCTGGAACCAGAGTCCGAGGGTGACGCCAAAGGGGCCCAGGTTCGCCCACTCGTGCCACTTGGCCCAGCACCACCGCCGCCCTCAGTGGGACGGTGGCAGGGAGCTAGGGCGGGAGCCGCAGGGCGAGAGCCCCCCCCCCCAATGCAAAAGGCCGTCGTTGGGGGGGGCGGGTCCTGCGTCGGACATGGAGGCCTTCGGCGGCTCAAGGAAGATGGGTGACCCCAAGTGAGGTTATCCAGAACCGGGCCGGGGCCATTCCAGAGAGAAGAGAGAAATAAAGAGAATGAAGTCACCAGCGTCTGGACAGACGTGGAAACCCCTGAAACGGGGAACGTCGGACAGTGGGGCTCTAAAATAAGGGGGCAAAGTGTGGAGGTGGTGTGAGGTGGGGCAGGGCGAAGATCTCAGTGAGCAGACAGGCCCCAGACAGAAACACTTCATTCACCGTTACTGTAACCGCTTCAATGGCGGCCATAGAAATAAAGCCATGATCTTCTAATCAAATTTGAAAATCAAATCAGAGAACAGAGCTGAGTGTCAGCGGAGCGTGCTCAGAAAGCTCGGGGAGGGCGGGCAGGCGGGGGCTGAGGAAGCGGGCATGGAGGATGCGTAGCCGAAATCGGCGGTCTTCGCCAAGAGGGTGTAGAGCCCAGGTGGCGGACACAAGGCCCTCGGACCAGATCCGGCCCTCTACCCGGTTTTATCCGGCGGGCACCTTGTTTCTACCCTGGCAGCAGTGCTGAGCTCCTTGCCCCTAGCTAAGGAGTAGTTACATTTATACAGTCCTACAGTTACATTCGACCCTTTGAAGGCGACCTTGAGGCTGATGGTGCTCCCGGTGAAAATGAATTTGACACCCCTGGTGTAGAGGTTCAACTTATCACGGGTAGGATGGGCTCTGAAAGAAGCAGGAAAAAATGATGCATAATTGATGACTACGTGTATAAGAGGAAAAAAAATGTACAGGCTTCTATAGGAGCTAAGTCCATGAATTTAAAAACCTCCCCAAGACGCGATTAACAGAAGAACCAAATAACAATGCCTCAACCTCTTCTTATCACGTTTCTAAACCCCGAGGAAGAGGAGTGAGTGCAGAGAGGAAACACCTGGGAACAGCACTGTTGCTTTAAAAAAACGGCAACCTTTGGCATTATCCACACTTTCTGAAGAGGCGATAGAAGTTCTGACTCAATGTCCCCAAGCGGAAGACTTCTGACTGAGGCCAACCTCGGACCAGGGAGGCCTTGCAAATTAAAAAAAAAAAAAAAAAAAGAGTTGTGAAAATGTGTGAATCACATGCCTCTGCTTCAAAAAGGATCCGAGCATTTCTTCCTCCCAATGTGTTGGAGAGCTGGTGATCCTAAAAATAAGAACCCAGCTGCTCGGGGTAGCAGCTGGATGCGAACACACACGAAGCGAAATGTCCGTTCCATACTCCCAGAACGCCACTCGGGGAAAACGGAAAGAAGGAACCGCGCCGGCCGCGGCCGTGAGGTGTTTGCAGATCGTCTCCTAAATGATGGCCAAATGAAAGAGGAAACCGACCCCACGACGGCCCACCTGGGGCAGGTGTGGGGGCGTGGAGAGCAGCAGGTCCCCACGCACCCCTCTGAAACGTCACTTCTACGAGGGAGAAACCAAAGGACCGTGAGCAGAGAGCTGCTCACCGGTAAACCCTGGGGACCCCTGGTTGACTCGGGTAAGCCAAACATCACCCCAGAAAGGATGAAACATGGAACAATAAAAAAAATGACAAATCACTTTATAATGACATCCGGCCCACCCACGACGGCAACTAACAGAATGGGGAAAAACAGACAAGCCCTAGATGAAATACAAACGGAAGCAACGTGTTAAGAGTTTATGTCAATGTATGAAAGTACTAACGACAGTCCCCACAGAACGCTGACAAAGAACACAGACAGTTTGCACAAAGAGAGATACAGTTGCAACCAACCGAGTAAAAAAAAACAACTTAATGACATTAGGGATGAAAGCTATGCAAATCAGCTCATCAGTATGGAAATGCAGTGTTGCGGACGGCAGGAAGGGTAACAATGGAAGGAACTCAGCCGGCACCTCCGGGCTGGGGCAGCCCTGACGGCCCGTCCTCCGCACGCCCCTCAAAGGCTGGGCGACGCTGCCCGAGAGCCGTAATCTCCGGTGGTCCTTAAACGGTGGCTGAAACTGGAGAGAAGCTGTGATAACAAAACTTTCCAGGGCAGCCCTCGTGTATGATCCCCAAGGTCTCAAAATAACCCAAACGTCTACACCCGATGTGAACACCTTCACGCCATGAGGTCTCTGGAAGCCATGGAGAAAGTTAACCATGTAAAAACATTGACAGTTGTCGGTGAAGTATGTGAAAAGTGGAGGTCAGAGCTGCCCACCACTCCTAAAACAACGAGAAAGCCACAGGACGAGACGAGAAGGGGCGAAGGCCCCACAATGGGGCCCACCCCGGGGCCGTGGGTGGGTCAGACCCAGGGGACCCTCTCTGCGCCCACCTGAGCTCGGGGGAGGGGACTGGAGCCGGGAAGCACAGACCTCCGGCGCCGGAAGCCCCCGGGGCAGGCATTTAAAATGCAGATTCCAGACCGAACCAGGTTGGGGCCCAGACATTTGCATTTTAACAGTGGGGGCGGGGGACGGCCCTTATCAACCGTCCAGGTTGGGAGCATGGATTACCGAGGTCTTTCAAAGCAGCTTTGTGATTCTGGATCCAAGTTTTTCACAGGCCGTGGGCGAGGAAACGGAGGTAAACCCGCTCTCGGCGGGACGACTCCCGTGTGGTCCGGGGTGTGGGAAGGAGGAAGGAGTGGGCTCTGGGGGAGGGCAGGCCTGGGTCTTTGCCGGGGCTGGTTCTTCTAGGGAGGACACTGCTTCGCCAGGTGTGGCTCCAGGTGAAGCCAGGGACGCCTCAGCCGGCCCCTCACTAACCCTCGACCTTCCCCTTGTCCCCCGTCCCCAGAGAAGTGATCCGGACCCTCCCCTCCCTGGAGTCTCTGCAGAGGTTGTTTGACCAGCAGCTCTCACCGGGCCTCCGTCCGCGGCCTCAGGTAAAGGTGTGGCGGTGGGAAAGAGGAACTTGATACGGGGGGTGGGGAGGGCCATGGAGGTAGCCAGGGTCCTGAGTGCTCAGGTGGGAGCCCCACCTCGCCCCGATGTTGTTGGGGGACCACGAGAGTATGCTTCGGGGTGAGGGGCGAGGGCCACAGAACTCTGCCCACGCCACCCCGCCCTCCCCCGTAAAGCATTTCCCGCTGCCTGATTTCAATTTCAGAAGTAAAGATTTCAAATGATGCATCCATCAGCAAAACGGCTTATTAGTAGTGCTGACTAAGGCTGCGGGGCGGGGCCTTTCCCTCCATTTCTCTTCAGAAACTGAAAGAGACACACACACACACACACACACACGAGGTGCCTAAAACCTTGCTCCTGCCTCTGCCCCAGGAAGTCCAAGGTGTAGGTGCACCTCCCCCTCCCCCCACAGGCACCTGCTCACGCCCAGAGGGGCCAAGTCCGAGCTCCCCACTGAGTGAAGCTCTGGGTAACCAGGTGTCAGCAGCAGAATTTAACACAAGGAAAGAAATATCCGAGGGAGTACTTGCAATCAAGATAAGGGACACAGGGTTAACACTTTAAAAAGTCTACAAAAATAAATAGCTGGGTAAAAACAACCCAATCCGTAGCATGGGGAAAGGATGTGCAGAAGACTGTTTTACCCAAGAACTGGGTGTGGCCAGGAAGAGATGCTAAACCTCACCTCCTTAGTAACCAGAAAATGGCCTTGACAATGAGGAGCTAGCTGCCTTCGTGCACATCAGACGGGCCAGAGGCTGACGGGTGAAGCTGGGGGGCGGGGGGGGGGGGGTGGGAGGGGCTGCGCAGGGACTCCCGAGGGCTCGCGTCCCTGCTGGAGTGGAAACGGGTTTTCTGAAAAGCAATCTGACTGTTTGCACTGTCAGGGAGAGGGGATAATTCACCCCCTTCTGCCCTGCTTTAGTTTTTACGGCTGGACTAGGTAGTAAGATTGAAACGAGACCAGATGAACAGGAGAAAAACGAGTTTAATGCGTGCGCACGGGGGAATCGGTGTGACTGATGCTGCAATGGGAAAATGAGGCGCACAGGAATGACCGTGCCCGGCACCCCTGCGTGCGCTGGGGACGGACACACTGGGGAGCGGCAGGAGCAGGGAGTCGCTGCTCCCCAGAAGGGCCGCCCGTGGGCCCCTCGGCCTGGAGAGGGGGCTGTGTCTCAGCCCTCGGGGGCAGGGAGGGCGCCCAGCCGGCCCCGGGAGAGTTCCGTCCTGCTCTTGGGGGCACAGCCGCTCCCTGTCTTCCCGGGCCACTGTGGTTGCAGACAGTCGACGGGCTGTTGTGGGACCTTGGGACGCCGTGTGATCCCGTGACCTGGCCTCCCTGGGCCCCGACAGCGTGAACATGTTCAATGCACGCACCCCCCAAGCAACCAGTCCTGTGTGGAGGCGGTTGTCTTAGGGGCAAGAGGTGCGGACAAAGCTCTTCATTGTGGCCTTGTCTCTAAAAGCAAAAACACTGGAAACACACACATGGAGGGAGTTGTGCAGAATTTGCTGCGGTGCATGCACTGATGTGGAAAGATCTCCAACACACATTGTTGGATTAAAAAAAAAAGAAAGAAGAGAAGCAAATGGCAGGACAGTATATAGAGTATACCGGAAAATTGTGCCAGAAGGACTTATACCCAAAGGGCAACTCTGGTTACCATGGCAGCGGTGGTGGGGGTGGGGCGTAAAACGGGGGAGAAGGGTCCCAGCTGAGGGGGACTTTGGGTTTGAGTTTTTTATATATTATTATATTGTTTGAGTTTTTTAGTGAGAAATTATATGTGTTACTTTCTACTTGTACAACTTTAAAATTCATCAGAAAATAAAAAGAGATAACTTTGCTTTCCTCCAAGTGAACGATGGATAAATTTACAGGACAGTCAGAACAAATCTAGACAAAATAGGGGTGGTGCCAGATAGTAAAGTTTAAATAGTTTAACTAGAAGACCACGCACCTAGATCTTTGAAGTCGGTTCGATGAGGGAAAAGCCCCCGGAGACGCGAGCTGGCGGCGGTCCCACTGCGCGCACTGCTCAGCCGAGGCCAAAGTCTGTGAACGGTGGCGGGGCAGAGCGGCCACAAAGGGTTTTCGCTCCTTCCCACCCTGTGAGACCCTGACTCCGAGAGAAAAGTCTTCAGAACCCCCCCCAGAGGAGGGAGTTCAAGGCTCCCCCAGGGAAAGAATTCCAGCCCCGGACTGGAAATGTCTGGTGTGGTCTCGGACTCGCCTGCCGTGCACCTCGGTTTTCTCTTCCGTGAAATGGGGCCAGTCGTGTCCGACGCTGCAGGTTCCCCTACGCGGGAAGTGACACTGCGTGTGTGAGCCGCCTGGCTGGGCTAGACTCTTACCAACATGAGACCCCTGCCCTGAGGGGGGTGGGACCAGAGGGGGACCCCTGGAGTCCTGCGTCTGTCCTGTGTGAGGGAGGAGAGTCGCTACTAGCCTCGGGGCCCACGTTAGCAACTGCAAAGCGAAGCGAAGTGGAAAAGCTCACCAGCTTGTGTAAACCTCAGACCCAGCCACGAGCTTCCAGGCTGAGCTGGGAGGTGTGGCCTCTGCCCCCAGGCCGCTTGGTTGTTCACGCAACCTGGCCTCTCCCCACTGGACACCATCAGCACGCTCCAGCTGTGACAGCCCCCAGCGCGCCAACAGGCTTGTCGAGTGCCCCCTGGGGGACGAAATCGCCACCAGCTGAGAAGCACTGGACCACAGGTGCATTCAGCTCTTGGTGGGGGGGCTTCCCTAGCTCCGTGACCTTGGACAAGTTGACTCGCCACTTTGACCCCACCTCCCCGTCTGCAAAACAAGGGTTCTTAGAATCCATGCACGTGCAGGCTAGATGAGTGGGTGCGCTCAAGCTACGTTTGCCGGAGTGTAAGGGCCCATCTGGTCCCCGTGTGGGCTCTGCCCGAGGACGAGGCAGACACACGGACGAGTCCCAGCATTCTCGTACCTTCTGTTCCAAGGACTCTCCCCGGTTTGTCAGGAACCTCATTTTTGCTTTACGTTTTTGCCGAACCTACCAAGCTCTGCCAAGGCTTCTCCCTGGTCACCACAACCGTAGACGGCAGCTTTAAGGAGCAAAGTAGTCAGAGAAAGTGTTGATGGAAGTGCTGACGCCGGTGACAGTTGTGGTGGGTGTCGGTGGGGGTGTCGATGGCTGGTGGTTGGAGGTGGTAGAGATGGTGCTGACGGAGGTGACAGTGGTCGTGGTGGGGAGAGCCGTGGGGATGGTGTTGCTGTTGGTGGTGACAGAAGGGATGGCTGGTTGCCGATGGCAGAAGTGGTCTCTGACGTGGCTGGGCAGAAAACTGGGGTCAAAAGCGAGCACGGCCTGGCTGACTTGTCAAACGGGGATGAGGGGACGGGATCAAGGGGCGTCACTTGGTTAGAGTTAACAGCTCGTTCCGTTCCGGCCGGTATTCGGGCGAATTGTACACCTGCCCGCTTTGCTCGTCCTGCCTCTGGAGGACAAGGGGGGTATCTATATTAACTCTCTATACCTCCAGCACCCGGCAGTGTGCTTGGCACAGACTAGATGCTTTATAAATATTTATTCTGGGAATAAACGCTTGAGATGGTGGGCGTGGTGCCGGGCCAACGAGACCCAAGACCTGCTCTGCCGTGCGCTAGCTGCGTGACTTCCGGCACGGAGCTGCAGCTCTCTGGGCCTCGCGTGTGCATCCGACAACCTCACCGAGCGTCTTTGCTGGCTGGGGGCTCTTCCCAGCACCCAGGCCGCAGCACGGCACTCAGTGCACCCAGTGCATTGTCCCCGTTCTCACAGAGCCTGCGGTCCAGCAGGGGAAACACAGTGAACACATCAAGGACCGTGGGGGATCGATAGGCAGCAAAGCAGGGCGACATGACAGCGATGCCCTGGTGGCTCCTTGAGCATCAGGGGAGACCCCTCTTTGTGGATCTGAGACCCGAGTGACAAAAGGGGTGGCCGTCCTGGGTGAAATCCTTGTCTCTGGGGATTCCTCAGAAAGGATAGATTGCTCAAGACCACGGGCAGATGAGGAGGGAGGCTGGGGGCGGAGCGTTGGGTCATGTGGTCTTGGAGGGCGGGGTAAGGCGTTTGGATGAGCCTCTCCCAGTGAGGGGCGGACAGCAGCCGGCGCAGGGTGTCGGGCAGCGGGTGGCTCTATGCCAGGAAGGCGGCCGCGTGATGCTGTCGCTGTGGGAGGAGGAGGTAATAGTCAAGTCCAGGCCTAGAGTTTTGTTTAAGCAAATGAGTGGATGAGGTGCGAAGCTCTGGGGGAGAAGCAGATCGAGAGGGAAGAAAAAAGGACTTGTTTTTCAGCCATGACGCATTTAAGGCGATGGGCAGTATCCTTGATTTCTGCACGGGCAAAGGGCGTGCACGACAGTACTTCTGGGTCGTGGGGGGGGCGGCGATGAGGTGCGATGAGGCGTGGAAAGCGCTCGGGGTCGCCGCTCTCGGCGGCTGCCACGCGGGGAATGTGCCCTGATTGGCTCGTGTCCTCCCCTCCCAGGGGTCTGGTGACACCACTCCGATCAACATGGTGACCAAGCTCAGCCAACTGACAAGTCTGCTGTCCTCGATTGAAGATAAGGTACCTGGGGAGGGGGGTCCTGCAGCTTCCCTTGGCTTCTCTTCGGTCTCCCCTTGGCTCGGAGAGTGCCCAGGCGCGCGGGCTCCGCGCCTCCGGCTCTGTCCCCGAGGAGGCCGCCTCCCTTCGCCTCCCGACCTGGGGCGTTCTGCATGTGTGCCCGCAGGTCAAGGCCTTGCTGCACGAGGGCCCCGAGGCTCCCAACCGGCGGTCGGTCATCCCTCCGGTCACCTTCGAGGTAAGCGGCTGTGCCCTTGCGCTTTGCAGCTGGAGGCTGGGGCACATTCTGGTCCCCGCAGAAGGAGAGCTCTTGGCCCAGCTGTGCAAGGCCAGGGAGCCCAGTGACTGAGAACGGCAGGCAGTGGGACCTCCCGTGAGGATGCTTAGGCGTCAGAACGGGTGTCCGGGTGGGCACGTGAGCCCAGCTTCCCGGGGAGGCTCCCTGGGAAAGAGCTTCTCGGCCCCACATGACTTAAACACTGTTCATCTCAGCACGGGGCAAGTGGTGAGGGCATCCAGTGGGCCCCCCGAACTGTCTGCATAGTGCCTGGTGGGGGGTGGTGGTTAGGGAATGGTATGATTTCCCCGGGAGTGACCGAGTCAGAACCCCCAGGCTCTGGTCTGGAAATTTGCCTCCCTTATTTGTGCCCACAGATTGCGGTGCGTCCCTCTCAGCCCTGGGCCCACAGTCAGAACCAGGATGAGATGCCCCCCCGCCCCACCATGTCCCCCTCCCAGAAAGCCCTTCCCAGCCCTGATGATAATTCTGCTTTAGCCTAAGTTTCTACCTTCCGAGCACGGCAATTGTCTTTTTCCTAATTAGTATCTGTCATTATTCCATTATTGGTTGTAATAAGGCTCAGGAGCTTAAGTCTGTCGCTAAAAACAGTCTCTGGAAGTAGGTGACGTCAGATTAATGGGCGTTGCCCAACGAGGCGGTGCAGGAACGGCTTTCCAGCGGGTCGTCACCTGTGTCCCGCAGCAAACCTGTGGGCAGAGCAGCTCACGCACCCCCGACGGCTTCGCTGGGCTCCTCCCCTCGTGTCAGCCGTTGTTAGGAGCTGCCCCGGGAAGCCTGGGGGTGTGGCTCCGGGCCAGCGGGGCTTGGAAGTAGAAGCTGGGTGGCCACCTGCAAGACACGGAGGCTGGACTGGCCAGGGGAGAGAGGGGCTCGCCATGGGAGGGTTGGCACCCTGATGAAAGCCTGGACAGAGAAGAGATGACCGACATCTCCCCCTCCTCCTTCCCCTCTTCCTCCTGCTCCTCCTCCTCTTCACAGGTGAAGGCGGAGTCTCTGGCGATCCCTCAGAAACTGCACCTCAAAGTCGACGTCGAGTCCGGGAAACTGATCGTCAAGAAGTCCAAGGACGGCTCTGAGGACAAGTTCTACAACCACAAGAAAAGTAAGGCCCTCGTGCCGGTCACGCTCCCGTTCTGCCAGTGCCCTTGCCGATGGCCGCCCGGCAGCAGGCCCGTGCTCCCCTGCACCAGGGCACCCGGTGCCTCCCGCCACCCCCCCCCCACCACCCGTGGAAAACCCCGCCCGGCTCTAGGGCCCACATCTCACGCCCCCTCCTCCCGAGGCCTTCCCCATCCGTCCCACCTCCTTCCTCGGGACCCGGGAGATGTGGCGGTTCTGCGACACGTTCCTCCCTGCTGGGGCCAGGCTGACGCAGACGGTCACCTCCTGGTGCCTGGTCCAGGGCCTTGCATGTGTGAGGGCTGCGGCCAGAGTCAGGCAGCGTCTTCAGTGCAGCAGTCACTGGGAGGCAGTTCCCAGGGCGTGGGCTCTGCAGCCGGACTGTGCAAATTCACACCCCAGCTCTGCCCCTCAGCAGCTGTGGGACCCTGGATGCCCGAACCACACTGGGCCTCGGTGTCCTCATCTGTAAAAGGGGGGTGACGAGGATGAAGTGAATAATTGGCGTGGAAGACTTCTTAGGAAGGAGCCAGGCATGGCGGGGCTGCTCTGAACACCTGAGGCTTTGCACCGTCGAGTGAAGTCATGAGTAAATCAGGAATATTCACACACCACGTGCTTGGGGGCAGGTCACTGGGGGCACCGTGGGGGGTGAGAGCACGAGAGGCTCTGGTGCTGGATCAGGCTCTGCCACGGGCTGCTGCCTCACAGCCTAGCCACTCAAACTCTCTCTGGGCCTTCGTTTTCCCATCTGTGAAATGGGCAGAGTGATGATGATAATTACAGATTCTGTAACAGACTTGCCCTGAGAGTGGGTGAGCCGGTGCACGTGAGAGCAGCTGACACTGACCTGCCGCAGCGTGAGCCCAGGGCCCGGTATCCAGGCGGGGGCCGGGAGAGGGGCTCTGCCCACACGGGCCTGCCCATCCCGCAACCTGCTGCTGCTGAGTCCCACCTGGGAGCCACCCCAAGGCCCAAGGGGTGCTTTCTGGGCAGCGGGGGATGGGAGTGTGGGGACCAGCTCTGGGCGGGAGGTGGGATGCAGCAAGGGGAAGGGTGCAGACAGCACAGAGCGGGCTCAGAAGCCCAGCCTTGAGTCCCAGCTCGGTCACTTGTGACCTTGGTCTAGTGGCCTCTCTCTCTCTCTCTCTGCTCCTCAGTTTACTCTTCTGTCAGATGGGTATGCAGCATCCTGCAGGGCTGCCACGAGTCTCAAATAGGTAAACATCAAAGTGCGTGGGGCCTAGGATCTAGTAGGTGCTCAATAAAACTGGCTGCCGCTGCCACGACCATCATCATAATTATCCTTCCAAGTCCAAGGTAGCTGTGAGGAAGGAGAATAGGTCAGTGAAGGTGGATCAGGAATGAAGTCCCTAGATGCTGGAGCATGACAGGCTGTCATACTCACGCGGAGGTGAGGTCCCAGTGGTGGGCAGGGGCACTCTGTCCACAGCCAAGTTGGGCAGGAGAGATGGGGGACTCACTGAGAGCCTGAGCTGGAGAGGGCTTCACTGAAAGCCACGAGCCTAGAGCCACACTTTTTATCTTTATCTGTGACAGAGAGAGGGTTACAGCTGGAAGGGGGCGGGGTCCCAACTTTGACAAGAGGAAACAGAAACCTAAGATGAGTGAAGCGATTATCAAAGAGTGCCTGGTTGCTCTAAAAAAAAAACTTGAGGTTTCTGGGCTGAAAGAAATACCTCCCAGGACTCTGAGAAGCACCGTGAGCTCTTGCCAGCTTAATTCAATGGGCACTTTTTTCCCCTGAACATCTTGCACGGGCCAGCTCTGAGTTGCAGACCTCCGTCAAGGAATCAGCAGTTTAAAGAGAGACGCTGGCCTGCGAGCGTGTGGTAGCATGTGGGTCAGAGGCAAGGTCAGCCCTGGGGGAGGACCAGTGAACCCTGCCGTGGGGTGGTGCAAGGCTTCCTGCCACAGAGATGGCTCTGTCCGGGGCTTTGAAGAATGACTAGGAGTTCACCCAGCCTGAGGCGGGGGAGGGCATTTGGCCGGGGACAATGGCGTGTGCAAGGAATGCAGCAGACTGTTGGGGAAATTGCATGCTGTTTGCTGTGGCCGTGAAGAGAGGAGCAGGAGCAGTGGGGCACGGGGTCCCTGAGGTGGGCAGGGCCTTAAATGCCAAAGTCAGGGTCGGAGCTGTTGTCCTGTGGCTGGAGAGCACTGGCGTGGTTAGCACCAGAAGGGTGAAAATACACCTTCGTGGGATCGCGGACGGTGGGCAAGCTGCTGTCGGGCCAGAGATGGGTGAGAGAGCTCAGCTGGACATGAACGGCCCTGAGGAACCCCAGCTCCAGCCCCGAATGGATGAGTACACTGTAGGCTTCTGAGCCCTTAAAGGAGAAGCGTGAGCGCCTGGCGCCTGCCAGCCCAGACTCTCCGGGGAACGCACCTGCCTGCCTCCTGGCCTCCCTCTGGGCTGGTGGGGCCCGGCTCACCTCTGTCACGGCACCTGTCACATCAGAACACAACCCCCCCCCCCAAAGTGGGCAGGGTCTCTCTCTGACAGGCCCGCTCCGGCACAGGACCTGGTGCTCAGCAGGTGCGCACTCAGGGACTGCCAGGTGACTGAGACCCCTGCGGCAGTTATGCTCAGGTGTCCCCTCCCCGTCCATGAATGCAGGTTCCACAGAGGCCAGGAAGTGGGTCTTTCGGCTCACTGCTAAATCCCCAGAGTCTAGGACATTGTCAGGCTCAGAGTAGGGCATCAATAGATATGTACTGAATGAGTGAACGAGTGAATGAACGAGTGAATGAATGAGTGCGTTCTGGACCAGCGCAGGAACACAGCCCGTGTGGCTGTGTGTTTCAGGGGCTTCTGTAACTGGCGCCGGGAGGCACTGTACTTCGGGGTGAGGGTGCCAGCTGGGCTGGGCCCACGTCCTCACTCTAGGGCTCAATAGCGGTGTGACCTGGAGAAAGTGACTTAAACACTCACAGCCTCCTCCGTGTCCCTGCAAAAGAGGGGTCCCTATAGGCTGTGGCAGGGCCGGTGGGACAGGGTCGGCCCTGGGCCGGTCGTGGCCCGCAGTCTGTTTCCAGGCCTGGTGCCCCCGTCCCTCTGGGAGCAACTCTTTGGCGGCGGTGGCTGGAGCGTCCTTGCCCTGTCCCAATCACCGTGTGCGCAGCAGCTCCGGCACCGAGCCGGCTAGGCATAGGGGCATAGGAAAAGCCGGTGCCCGCAGGAAGAAGTCATAATGTGTTCGCTCACTGAGCAGCCGCTATGCGCCAGGCGCTGGGGAGACGGGCATGAACAAGCCAGGGAGGTCGAGTTCAAGTCCAGGAGAAAACAGGTACACCGACATGCACACCAGGACAGCGTCGGGGGTAAACTCCCGGCTGGGATTTCGGTGGGATGACGTGACGTCCATGGAGGAAGGCCGTTCGAGCTGACACCTGAGTGTCCAGGAGATGCTGGCCGTGGGGGGGACCTGAGAAAGGGGCCCAGGGACGGAGGCTCCAGGGTGGGAGCACCTTAGCACTGCGAGAAGGTGGAGCGTCCGGAGTGGAGGTGACTCAGGGATCAGGTGCCAGTCTCGGGGGCGGGGTGAGCGGAGTCCCCGTGAGGAGGTGTCAGGCAGCGGAGGGACAGGTTTCCCCTTTAAAATGAACTGTGGCTGCTGGGCTGAGAATAAGTGACGGCAGGGGGTGGGCAGTGCTGGGAGAGCGATTCTCAGGCCAGACGGTAGCCAGGTGAGAGGCGGCAGTGACTGGAGACGGACAGGTCGGGAGTGTCTGAGAGGTAGACCGCTCATACCTGCCGACGAGTGACAGGAAGAGGGCCGAGGGAGAGAGGGACCCAAAGCGTCTCCAGCCTTCTTGAACCAGGTGTGCGGATAGGTGGGCCACTGACTGGCCCCGCTGGCGTGTTAGTCCTGATCAAGCAAGACGTCACACCCCGGGGCAGCCACGCAGCTGTGCAACCAGATGTCAGGGGGAGCCAGACATCCAGGAGGAAGGAGGTACAGACCAACACCAGCAGGTTCAGAGGCGTCTGGGCACCCCGGCCGGCAGATGGAGCACACAGGACGCACCCGGTATCCCTTGGGCGAGACTTGGAATCGCGATGGCTTCTGAATGCACGTACTGCCGTCTGCTCCCTTCCTAAAGGCGGCACTCACAAGGTCAAAGACAACAAGAGCAAATGAAGGTGATGACACTCTAAACACTGAAAAACAGGCGGATCGTGATAACCAACTTGCCGGAACCAAAAAAAAAAGTTAAATTTTGAGCGAGCAGTAGGAAAAACTGAGACACCTGAGTCACACCACAGAACCCACAAAGGGCATGGGAATTGATAGCATCAGGGGCCCCTAGGAGTGGGCCTGAGCTTGGGGTTATAAACAGCAGAACTGGAGGGAAATCTGTTTAAAAAGAGTTAGACCCAGCAAATCCCCCCACTCCTCACGGGCAGAAGGCAGGATGTCGGTCCTCAGAAGATGGTCAAGGGCTGGGGGGCACCGGCCACGGTGAGGGCAGAGGAAGCTGCTGGAGACACTACTGTTCACTTTCTGAAGGCTGAGCCCCAGCCCTCGGCCCTGTCCAGCGCAGGATGCTGCTGGCTGGGCCCACGCCCTGCAGGCAGGAAGTGGGAAGTGTCTTGGGAGCATGTGACCGGCACACAGAAGTCTAAAGATGGTTTCCCCACGAGTCAGCCCGTGAGTCCACCCAGTGCGGAAGCCCTGCCCCGCGGGTCCCCTCTGTCACTTGGGTCGCAAACAGCCAAGGGTCACCAGGCACTGGCGGGGAGATGGGGGATTCAAGCCCCCCAAAAAACAGAAGACTTGAAGGAAACAGATTATGAAGGCAAAGGAGATTGGACCATGAAACAAGAAGAGTGCTATTTTAAAAGGAACATTCAGAGAAGAAAATAAGAATGAAGGAGGGGGAAGGGAGGGAGGAATCAAAAGATTATGGCAGATACTTTAAAAAATACAAACTGCCCTGGCTGGTGTAGCTCAGTGGATTGAGCACCAGATTGTGAACCAAAGGGTCAACAGTTCGATTCCCAGTTAGGGCACATGGCTGGGTTGCAGGCCAGGTCCCAAGTAGGGGGCATGTGAGAGGCAACCGCATGTTGATGGTTTTCTCCCTATCTTTCTCCCTTCCCCTCTCTAAAAATAAATAAACAATAAACTATTTTTTAAAAATAAAGACTCAAGGGAAGAGTGGAAATCTAACATTGAGGGGAGCTCCCAAAAGGTAGAACAAATGTCCTATCTTTCCCTATTTAGTGAGGGGAAAATACGGATTTTTAGAGAGTGGAAGGCATCATGAGGTTCCACACCGGAATATAAGTGCCAGTAAGGGAAAATGGAGACAGAATGAGAAGATTTGTTAAAGGAAATTCTCAGCACCCTGAGCAGCGTGGGTTTCCAGTTTGGACCGGGTCCGCCGACTGCCCAGCAGGGCAGGAGATCCGTCCTGCCCTGAGCCACACGCAGCATTGGGAAGCCTTACAGCACTGCGTTCGAGGGAAAGGTCCTAGAAGCTAAAGCAAACAGTAGAATCGGGGCCTGTGCTGGGGGTCCCCAAGATCCCCTCCAGGTTCAGTGGTTCACCCGGGGAGCCCGCAGGACTCGGCGCAGAGTCACGCAGCTACGGGTCATCACAGGGAAAGGGCACGTGGGTGAAGTCCAGGGGCACCAGGCACAGGTCTGCCAATGGGGCGTGGATGCACGTGTGAAGAGCCGTCCACCAGGGAAACCCCTGGGACCCTCGGCGGCCAGGGTGTCTGCGGTCACAGAGCCGCCCTCTGCCTGCCCCTGCACCCATCCCCAACTCCCAGGTGGGGGGCAGGTGGTCAGCCCACACCACGTTTGTCCAGTTTAGGCACAGCAAGCAGTTCGGAGAGTGCTGGGAACCGCCCCCTGCCAGTCAGTTCCAGGTGCTCGCCCAGGGCCTCCTGGGGAGCAGGCTGTCCTAGGCGTCACGGTCAGGCCTGCTGTGTGCCCTTCTCTGCACGCGGGAGGATTGGAACATCGTTGCAGCGGTGCCAGAAACTAGAGGTGGTGAAGCAAGGTCTCCGAGTCTGGGGCAGATAATTCTGAGCTTGGGGTTCTGTTAGTGAAGCAGGGGGTAGAATTGTCAGACATCCAAGGCCTCCAAACATTTATCACCCATCCCTCCTTTCTTGGAAAGCTGCTAGAGATGCTGTTTTACCAAAATGTAACCAGACGCAAGTCTGGCTGCCCACTGCTGAGAAGGCCAATATTCAAGAGGCAGGTGCTGGCGTAAAGGACAGCGGTTTATTTCCGGGTGCCGGCCACCTGGAAAGTGGGGACTGAGGTCTCAGAGCCCATCTCCCCCTCTCAGGATGCAGAAGTGTTTATAAGGAGGGAGGGGCTTGCCAAGTTCACGTGCAGACAAGCACGGTGGCCCATTCCGATAGGACAGGGACAGTCCCGTGCGTGTCGTCCGGGTTTAGTCATCCCGGCTTCATGTCACCCTGTCTCTGCGGTTGAAGGTCAGCAGATCTCCCAGGGCTGGGATGCCTGAAGGTCGGGTCTGCATCTTTTGAAGTCAGTTTCTAGGAATCTTGTACAAACATGCTGTTCGTCCACCAGCTTCATCTCCATCGGAGTCAGCACCTAACAAACCAATGTCCAAAGAACGGGGTGGGTGGGCTCCGATTTCCCACTGTTGCAAAAATGAGGGCATAACCCAAGGAAGAAGAGGACAAGGGAAGCAGGTGACGGGTCCCTGGAGGGTGGGCAGGGCAGGCCCGCGGGTGATGGCTGTGCCCCAGGCCTAGAGGCCGCCCGTGCAGAGAAGAGAAGGCCCGGAGGCTCTGGGAGTAGCTCCCCTGGGTGGCGGGGGGGCAGCTGGCGAAAGTGCTTGACCACGCAGAAAAGAGTTATAAACAGAGGGGGGACCAATGGAAAAAACCATGGCGACTATTAACTCTGGGAAAAACAAAAAGCTGCATGCCAAAAAGGGAAACCATCGGGACGTGTCTGTCAGTAGCGTCTTCCTAGTCAAAATGAAAAAACACTGACCACTTACCCAGCCAATAGGATCGTGTAATTATTGGAAGGAGGATGGAGAGACTGACCTCATGCATTGGTGGGGGTGGGAGAATGGTGACCAGAGGACAGGCTGTGCGAGAAACAGAGCTCTTGGGCTGTCATTCATCTTGCAGAGCGAGAAGCCAACGTGCACTAGGAACTACTGCACTGTTCAGGCCTGGAACACTGGGAAGTAGCCGTGTAGGCATGTTATTTAGAAACTAAGTAAAATTTCAAAAGACTGCATTAGGAGAGTCAAAAGTGGTTGCCTCTCACGAATCCATGTTTCTCTCATTGATGTTTCTCTCTTTCTCCCTTCCTTCCCCTCTCTCTAAAGATAAATTTTAAAAAATCTTGGTTTAAAAAAAGAAAGCGGTTGCCTCTGAGAAGCAGAACGTTGGAGGGAGGTGGGGCCGGGGCATATCACTGTGTACAAATCTTGTGGAACAGCTTGGGTCTTTTCTCCATTGATAGAAAAAAAATTTTAATTTAGATGTAAATGAAAAGCAAAGCAAAAGCAGGAAAAGGGGTAGGGAGGGGGAGAAAGAGAAGGGAAGAGGGAGGAAGATGAAGAGACAGTAGTCACACTCCCTCCGCCCAGCCAGGCCGTCCCTTGCTTGTCGCGGACACCACTCTGTCCCGGTGTGAGGCTCTCCCCGCAAGAGCAGCTGGGAGCAGAGGCATCTGGGAGCCTCGGCACAAAGACGGTGCTCCGCCTGAGCAGGGGACGGTCAGGGTTGCCAGTCAGGTGCCAGGATAGAGTGGGCGCCGTACCTGTTGGGGGTCGAGCTGGCGCAGGAGTAGGTGAACTTCCATTTCTCTTAAGTCCTGCAGCTCATCAAGTCTCAGAAGTTTCTGAACAAGCTGGTGATTTTGGTGGAAACAGAGAAGGAGAAGACCCTGCGGAAGGAATATGTTTTTGCCGACTCCAAAGTAAGTGACAGGAGACGGTTAAGATTAATCATGGCCCTAGTGTTGACCCTCTGGTGCACAGCGCGGATGAGGCAGGACAAGAGGGGTCCCCGCCACCTCACCTCGGGTGTCAGTTGGTCACAGCTTGGCACCGCGGTAAGGCGGGGCAGGGGGGGGCAAGAGCTCCCAGCACGGGTTTACAGGGACGGGGCCCCCTGTGGGGGAAGTGGCAGGGGTGGGCTGGCGGGAGTCCAGTGGGAGGTCCCGGGATGCCCAGAACCGCTGAGAGGGTGGGGAGGACTGGGAGCGGTGATAGGGAAGGGGCTGGGAGAAACAAGGACGTGGGGGCCCGACAGGCGATGGAAGGCCGGCAGGGCATCGTGCTGGGAGTCATGCTGGGCATCGTGCTGGGCGCAGGGGCAAAAGCCAGTGCCACCCACCGCCGCAGGCTCCGCAGGGTGGAGCCCCACAGGAACCTGAGGCACCGCATTTGCCCTATCTCTAACTGAACCTGGGCGGGTTCCCAGGATAACTAAAGGAAGACTATTAGGGAGCCTATGGCCACAGCCTTCCTTTTTCTACTTTTCGATTAGTTCCTTTAATTTCCTTGCATTGCACAAGCAATCTAGTCTCCCTGGTGGCAAAGTTACAAAGAGGCAAAAAGTGTAAAATCGCAGCACCCGCATACCACCAGTAAACCTTCCTAGATGGCATCTTTCCAGGATGGTTTTTGTGTTTTTTGATAAAAATGCAGTGGTGCCATCCATACTGTTTCGTCACCCAGCTTTCTGTACCTAATATATGTTGACCACCTAGTCCTGCTGATACAGTGCTTCTGCACCGCGGTTTTTGAGCCCTGTGGTGTCCCAGCGTATGGGTGACCCCTGAAACCATTGTGACTTCATCTCCTAAGATTGGACGTTACGGCTGCTTCTGTTTTTTTCTGCATTAAAATGCATGCTGCAGCTCCTGTGATATGGTTGGGCCTGTGTCCGGTTCTGGAATATTCTAGAGGCTGGTCCTTGCCGCCGCACGTCTGGGTCACAGAGCGGCCACTCGCTCGTCTGCGACCTGTTTCCCCGCTCGCTCCGTGTCCGGGAAGTTCGCCCCGACTAGCGCCCCGCCTCTCGGTTTGAGCGAGGCTGACCGAGCGCTCTGAAAGCGCAGTGCGCTGGGGCGGGGGGGGCCGGGCACAGGCCTGTCTGAGACTGTCTGCCTTCACTCCCCAGAAGAGAGAGGGCTTCTGCCAGCTCCTGCAGCAGATGAAGAACAAGCACTCGGAGCAGCCGGAGCCCGACATGATCACCATCTTCATCGGCACCTGGAACATGGGTAGGTCCGGCGGCCGCCCTCCCTCCCAGCGCCTCCCCCTGGGTCCTGCTTCCCGCCTCAGGCATCCTCAGAGCGGCGGAGGGAACTGTCGCCCCCGCCCCCCCTGCACAGCCTCCCTTCCAGGGAGTACCAACCTTCTCCTGAGACGATGGGTAGGAGGGCAAGCCCTGGGACTCTTGTTCCCCAGGAGCCACTCAGGGGCTTAAGTTCAGGGGCTTTTGGCGCCTGTTGGAGTCGGAGAGCACCGGGGGTGGGAGAAGCTGCGCACCTGGGCTGGGGCTGCCCGTCTCGGACAGCTCGCTGAGGGGGCAGGGCTGGAAGAAAGAACTCCTTCCTGGAGTGGCAGCATTGCCACAGACAGACAGACAGACAGACAGAGGGATGGTGCCCAATTAAATCTGAATTTCGCATAAATGACAAATAATTTGGCCTGGCTGGCGTAGCTCAGTGGATTGAGCTCGGGCTGCAAACCGAAGCATTGCAGGTTCAATTCCCAGTCAGGGCACATGCCTGGGTTGCAGGCCACGGCCCCCAGCAACCGCACATTGATGTTTCTCTCTCTCTCTCTCTCCCTCCCTCCCTCCCCTCTCCAAAAATAAATAAGTAAAATCTTTAAAAAAGACAAATAATTTTTAGTATAGGTATTTACCTAGAAACACATATATACATACTATATATTATGCTAAATGTACATATTATATATTTATACACTAATATATGTTATATACCAAATATATAAATGTAATATAATTTATACTGAATACAAATTTTACTACTTAGTGTAACTAAGCAGCTAGAAATAAGTACTAGCAGCCAAATACCAACTATATATTATACTGGATATTGTACTATGTACTTATATAGTAATGCATATTTATATACGAACTGTAAATTATGCTCAATAATTATCTAGCGTAAGTATTCATTGAGACATGAAAAATAAGTAGATATACGACGGCCAGTTAAATTTGAATTTCAGAGAAACAGATACTGCATGGGATAAACTCATTCTACAGACGAATCTCTACTGTTTGTCTGAAACGCAAATGTAACTGGGCATCTGTCTCCCCGCATGGCTCTGGGCAGAGTGAGGCCCGGCCCCCCGCCACCCACCCCCCATGCAGCAGACAGCCGCTCGGCAGCCCCGGAAGGAGGGCTGAGCCTCAGCAGGGGGCAGGGGGTGAGAACTCCATGTGGGACTCCTGGCCCACCCGTGGAGTGGAGGATGGGCCAGTCTTCCGGAAGGGAAGTCAGGAGAGCTCCGAACCCCGATTCCACGAGCTGCCAGCCGCCCCGCCCCCCGCCCCCCCCCCAGGCCTTCATGCCCGGATATTCCAGGGGCCGCAGCAGCACTGACACAGAGCTCATGCCTGCACCCCAGGGTCTTGCACCCTCCCGTGTCCTCTCCCATGTCTCTTACGGACGCTCACGCCCGGGTGCGTGCACGTGGGCTCACGGCCCCTGCCCTTTTTTCCCTCTGTGAGCATGGAGGCCCAGATTTGGCTGGGCACGGTGAAGGCCGTCCTGGTGCACAACTCCAGGGGGCGCCCTTCACCCAGAAGACAGTGCAGAGGAACTGGCTACACCAGGGTGGGGTGGGAGGGTCTCCCTAAGCAGAGACCACCGGTCCCCAGCGTTCATGCCCCCCCCAGTGAGACATAGTCAGGAGCAGAGCCCCGCAGCCGTCAAATGGCTTCAGTTCTTGCCTTTTGGGGATTTGGGAGCCAAGAAGTCGAATCTCTGGGGGAAAAGCTTACTTACCCTTTAAGGTCACTGAGAGGAGAAATAAATCTTTCATCATTTCTTTATTGAGCTACTTCAGTGCATTTTTCGGAGTGGGCATGGAGGGGGTCTCCACACCCTTCCTCCATTTCTGGCCAACACCCTCACTCACGTCTGACCTTGGCCGAGGTCTCTCGTTTGCAAGGAAGCCACAGAAGCCATGGTCTCCTGGCCGTGGGCCAGAGGCCCCATCCCAAACCTGTCCGCCCACTGGGTCGCCTTGACCACAGACTCTGTGTCCCCAGAGGGCTGTGTCTCAGCTACAGTGCAGCTGCAGGGACTCGGCGCTGTGTGTGCCCTCGTGCACCCCTAGTGCCAGACGCCCCGTGGGCTCCTCCGGTGTTTGACACTTCACATGATCTTTTTTTTTAAGATTGTATTTATTTATTTTTAGAGGGGGAAGGGAGAAAGAAAGAGAGGGACAGAAACATCAATGTATGGTTGCCTCTTATGCACCCCCTACTGGGGCCCTGGCCTGCAACCCAGGCATGTGCCCTGACCGGGAATTGAACCAGCGACCCTTTGGTTCGAAGGCTGGCACTCAATCCACTGAGCCATTCCAGCCAAGGCTTCATATGATCTTTACAAAGACACTTAACTGACCTGACATCCGGGGGTTAGTAGTACCTGGTTCTGCGTCTAAGGCATTGCGTGGGGCGGCCTGAAAAAGTTTCGTGTCTGTGTGATGCCCCCACCCCCAGCGCGTCCCCCAGCTCTGTTTGAATTCTGCTGATGCGCCTGTGACTCACTTGGTGTTGGGTTTTGCTGTTGAAGGTAACGCCCCCCCTCCCAAGAAGATCACGTCCTGGTTTCTCTCCAAGGGGCAGGGAAAGACGCGGGACGACTCTGCCGATTACATCCCCCACGACATCTACGTGATCGGCACCCAGGAGGACCCCCTGGGCGAGAAGGAGTGGCTGGAGATACTCAGAAACTCCCTGCAAGAAATCACCAGCATAACTTTTAAAACGGTGAACAGCTGGCTACCACCCTGGCTGGGACTCCGGGGCGGTGGGCTTTGCGAGGCTGGCCAGGGGCTTCTCAGAGGCGTGGGTGGGCTCGGCATATCGGTGCTCCATTTCTAAAAATGCCTGGGTGCTCAGGGGTCCTCCCCTCACCTCCGGGGCCCAAGAGGGGGGCCTGTGTTCAGAAACCTAGAGGGCCCGTGAGTGTCCCTGGAAGTGCCTGGGGCCCCCTCGGCCCTGCCTGTGCTTGTAGAGCATCTTCACGTCACCGAAACCTCATCAGGGCCAGCTCTCGTCTTTGAGATACGTTGTCCCATCTGTGGGACGTCGTTAGGAGTCCCCCAAAGTCTAAGGGTTATGGACAGGGGACCCCACACTCAGGAGGCGAGGGCTAGGTGTGCGTCTCTATCTCTGGGGCCAGGCAGGACCCCCCGGCCCAGGGTCACAGCGCTGTCCTCCCCACCAGATCGCCATCCACACGCTCTGGAACATTCGCATTGTGGTGCTGGCCAAGCCGGAGCACGAGAACCGGATCAGCCACATCTGCACGGACAACGTGAAGACGGGCATCGCCAACACGCTGGGTGAGCGGGGCGGGGCGGGGCCGCGTCCCTCAGCCTGTCCGGTGCCACCGGGACATGCCCGGGCTAAAGCCTGAGTCTCCCGTCCTGGTATCCCTTCGGTCCTGGGCAGACCAAGGCGGCTGGTCCCCGAGCTGACACTCACCCGGGTCAACACCAGCACCGTGAGGGCTCTGCCCGAAATGCAGGCTCTGACTCGGCCAGTCTCTGGTGGGGCCCGACTTGCTGTGTTTCCAACAAGGAGCTGGTGGTGTCAGCACCGCTGGCCCCCGGGCCCCACCTTGCACAGGGGGACCTAGGGTGGGGTTCATGGACGCGCTACGAAGGGCCAGAGAGCAAATTCTTGAGCTTTGCAGGCTGTGTGTCCCTCCTTGTCCCTACCGCTGTCACACAGAAGCAGACACAGATGCATGCGGTGAATGGGAGGGGCTGTTCTGTAACGCTTGACCCGCCACCCAGGCCTGGGGGGGGGGCCTTGAGCTGACGCAGGTGCGGGTTGCCGACCCCTGGTCTGACCCTGGACTGATGCGGGTGGGGTGTGGAAAGGCAGGCCTCAGCCACAAGCCAGCGGGACCAACTGGGGTGCCTCAGAGAGTCGAAATGAGAGCAGAGGACCCCGTGACTGTGTGAGTGTGCATCTGTGTGTGGATGTGTGAGTGCGTGTGGCAGGTGCCCCCACACGGGCCGTGGGCGGAGGTGAGGGTGAGGCCAGCGGTTTCTGGGGGTTGGGGTAGAGCCAGGGCAGTCCCAGAGAGAACAGGAAACAGCAGAACTGCTGCAACCAAACACGAAAAGCTCTCTCAGCGTTTCTGCTGACAGACCTCGCACTGCCGCGTCCACACCCCCTTGTCCCTCCTTCCTTCCTGTCGCAGTGGCTGTCCTGTTGTGAAATCCACACCTCTGCTGCCTAGGAACCTCCTGGCGTCTTTGTTCGGTGGCTGCCTGGGCTGCCTGCCACCCCGCACCCCACACCTATCCCTTCCCAAGCAGAGCTGGCGGATGCCCAAGGCCTTTTTTCTTGTTTTAAAGATTTTATGTATTTACTTTTAGAGAGAGGGAAAGGCAGGGGGAAGGGAGAGAGGGAGAGAAATATTGATGTGCCAGAGAAACATCAATAGGCTGCCTCTCACGTGCTCCTAACGGGAGACCTGGCCCACAACCCGGGCATGTGCCCCAACCGGGAATCAAACCAGCGACCTTTTGGTTCGCAGGGCAAGGCCCATCCCGCCGAGCCACGCCAGCCGTGGTTGGATCAGCCACGTCTCACGTGCTCGGTACACAGGCTCATCGCTGCTGTGTGGGACGGGCTGGGCTCCCAGGCAGAGTCACGGGGGGCAGCGCAGGTGTGGGGCTCTGCGGACCCTGTGGCCTGTCGCAGCTCCTCAGCCCTGCGGCCGTAGCGGTGCGCCCATAAAATGTTCTTCACGGGTTCCGAAACCTAAAGTTTCATGTCACTTTAATATGTCGCAAGATATTCTTTTGATTTTTTTTCCCCAACTCTTTCAAGAGGTAACAACCATTTGGGGCTGGGGGTGGGCCCCTGTTTGCCCACCCCTGACCCAGAGGACCTGGCACACCCCCAGATTCCTGGGCCTCCCCCCAGACTCTCTGATGCCGCAGCTCCAGGGTGGGGCCCGAGAACGTGCCTGTCCCACACGCTCCCCCGGGACCCTGGCGCTGGAGCGGACTTGGAGAACCTCTGGTCCAGAAGAGAGTAGAACCGGTGGAAAGGGAGGTGGTCCCGGTGCGGGTTTTGGTTTCCCCGGGAACCGGGAGTCAGCCGGGTGCAAGGTCGGCCCCCCCCCCGGCCCCGGCTCCGTGTTCCGTGACTTCTTCCCACGGCTCCTGGCCGCTTTTCATCGTCCAGCCTGCGTGGCGCGTGGGGGGACTGAGCACCCCTTAGGGGGAGATGCCAGGATGGGGTGCCCTGACAGCCCCCTCCCTGGGCCCTGCTGAGGCTACTGGCCATTCTCCTCGCTTTCTTATTCCCCCGGAGGGGTCTCAGCCTCCTCGTCCCTGTCTCCCATCCCATCTCCTCTCCCAGACGAAGCTACGTTGCTTTCTTCCTTCCCCACTCTCCCGCACCTGCCTCTGCCTGCCTTTCCTCGTGTTGTCTGCCCGCCCCGGGACGGGCCGGCCCCTTTGGCATCCTGACCTCTTTCTCCCCTCCCTTTAGGGAACAAGGGAGCTGTGGGGGTGTCATTCATGTTCAATGGGACCTCCTTGGGGTTCGTCAACAGCCACTTGACTTCCGGCAGTGAAAAGAAACTCAGGTAACAGCAGTCATTTCCCCGAGAGCCTGTGTTGGGGTGTTTTGTCCAGACAGACTTCAGCCCTGATTGCGACCGCCCTGGCCGCGGCGGGGACCCCATCCCCTCGGCCTCTGGGGTCTTTTCCTGCAGTGTCTTCACAGTTGTGACTTCCAGCCAGGGCAGAACGGACATTTCTTGTGTCATTAGCCTAGTGGATAGACACTTGAACATTACTTCTTTCTGGAGTCACGAACCTCCCCTGGCGCACCCTTTCAGGTGCCTGCCGGTGGCCCAGTCGTGAAGACAGCCATCTGGAACGTTCACAATTCCGGGCCCCACTGAGCTCCCGCTCCCGGGGCCCTGGCCCGTGGTCTGTTGCAGCAGGGGCCAGAAACCTGAGTCTCGGTCCCGCCGCTCCCCCTCTGAGCTCCGCCACGGCGGAGGGGGGAGCCCTGCCCTGACATGGCTGCTCTGTCGGTCCATTAGGCGAAACCAGAACTACATGAACATTCTTCGGTTTCTGGCTCTGGGAGACAAGAAGCTGAGCCCCTTCAACATCACTCACCGCTTCACCCACCTCTTCTGGCTCGGGGACCTCAACTACCGCGTGGACCTGCCCACCTCGGTGAGGAGCTGCCCACCCAGGGCTGGGGCTGCCTGTTGGGGCGGGGAGCTTCCACGAGAAACAGCCAAGAGACAGACACGCCTTCCTACCGAATGGGGTGGCGACAGAACAGTATTGAAAGACAGCATGAAGAAACACAACGTCCCTCGGCAAATTTGGAATAGCCAGGAACTTAGGTTATCCGGTTGGGGTTTCACCATTGCAGGGTTTTCCCTGTGAAACGGCGGTGCTAAGAAGCGCCAAGCCGGCAACCCCAGGCGGGGACCGGTCTGATGCAGCATGGGGGGCTCTGGGACCTGGGGAGGGCGGTGGCGGCCGCGGGCGGAGGAGACGGGGGTCTCACGCGGCCCTGCCCCCGCTCCAGGAGGCGGAGGCCATCATCCAGAAGATCAGGCAGCAGCAGTACGCAGACCTCCTGGCGCACGACCAGCTGCTCCTGGAGAGGAAGGAGCAGAAGGTCTTTCTGCACTTCGGTGAGCGCGGCCGTCCGTCTCCCCCGGGCCCTCGGCTGCCTCGCTCCGCCTCCCCTAGGCGGCTCCCGAACACCCTCCTCCCCGTGGGTGGGGGCGGGGCTCCATGCCATCCTCCTCCCCGTGGGTGGGGGCGGGGCTCCATGCCGTCCTCATGGGTGGGGGAGGCTCCATGCCCGGCGGGTGGCGGAGGGAACTTGGTGTCTCCAGACGTGAGACGCTGGGCAGCGAAGCTGACCCTGGGGCTTCGTGTGGTTTCAGAGGAGGAAGAAATCACGTTCGCCCCCACCTACCGCTTCGAAAGACTGACTCGGGACAAGTACGCCTACACTAAGCAGAAGGCCACGGGGGTGAGTGCTCCCCACCCTCTGTCTCCACCCGCGGCTCCGGGTCTGGTCCCGTAAAGGCGAATGGGCTGGGATGAGCGTCCTTGTCCACTAGGCAACAACAAAAGAGAGAGAGAGAGAGAGAGAGAGAGAGAGAGAGAGAGAGAAAGAACTAGAAATCACACTGCATCTCTGAGCAAAAACTCGGTTTGATGCCCGCTCAGGGCTCACGCCTGGGCTGTGGGCCCTGACCCCAGTTGAGGGAGGCGTGCGAGAGGCAACTGTGGGATGTTTCCCTTTGTTCTCTTCCTTTCTCCCTTCCCCTCTCTCTGAAAATAAATAAATAACATCTTTTAAATTAAAAAAAAGGAAAGGAGAGGCTGGACGACCAGACATATACACATAAGGAGCTGGACTCGTGACTTCTATGGTATTTGCCTTCTGTCCGAGTATCCGGGGACTCTGAGAGGGTTAAAAGTGTCATTTCCTTAACTGGGTTCTGAAGCGCATTTAAGAAATGCCCTGTGGTCCAGCTGCTGGCTGATGTGTGCCCAGCGAGTCCTCGGGAAGCCAGCTTCTCTGCCGCAGGCCTTGTGAGAGCCCCTGTGGGCGTGTGAACACAGTAGCTCCCCACGAGGCAGTGCTGGTGCCAGCCCCAACTGGCCTTGGAGTGCCAGTGAACAGCCCCTGAGGCTGCTTGGGTTCCCAAGGGTTCTCTTGGTGTGTGGGGATCGCTGCAATAAAACGTTCATTCTTGTCCAGCAGATAGGTACTGGTAAGCCGTGACGGGCTGGGTGCTCTGCTGCATGACGGCAGATCAGAGGGGAGTGGGCTGTCGGCCCCTCACCCCCCCAAGAGTTGATAGCAGGAAACACAAGACAAGACAGATGCACCAGGAGAGTTTGGTGGTGCCAGATGCAGTGAGGGGCAATCAGGGAAGGATCAGGAAAGGTTTCTTTTTCTTTTTTTAGATTTTATTTATTTATTTCTAGAGAGAGGGGAAGAAAGGGAGGGAGAAAGAGGGAGAGAAACATCGATGTTCAAGGGAAACATCGATCAGTTGCCTCTCGCACACCCCCTACTGGGGACCTGGCCTGCAGCCCAGGCCTGTGCCCTGACTGGGAATCGAACCAGTGACCCTTTAGTTCACAGGCTGGCACTCAACCCACTGAGCCACACCGGCCAGGGTGAGGGAGGGTTCTTAAAGAGGAGCCATGTGTGGTGCCTTGAAGAACAGCGTGGGTTTCAACAAGCAGCCGCGACAAGGGGTCAGGGGCCGATCCGTTTCTGGGGGAGAGAACTGCTGGGGCAGACGCCGCGGCAGGAGGCTCTGGCATCCAGCGTCTCCCAGCGGACCCGACCCGGGGAGGCCGGGCCTGCCGTAGGGTCCTGAGGCCGGAGCGCTGCAGTGGCGAGCTTCCTGGGGCCGCGAGAGGCCCAGGGGAACGGGGGGCAACCCAGACACTGCCTGCGGGCCTCCTGGGCTTCCCCGGGGCTCAGGGGCACTCGGAGAACCGGAGCAGGAGAGGAAGGCCGAGGGCGGGGAAGACGCCAGAACAGAGAGGCTACCGAGGAGAAGGGAAGACCGAGCACTGCCGCCTTGAGCGAGGCTGAGGCCCCCCCCCAGAGCAGGGCACCCCCTCAGGGCGGGACCCCTTCCTGTGAGACGTCCACTCGTGGCTGTGTGGCAGGTTCAGGGGGACACGTTTGGGGCTGATGACGGGGTGGTCTGGTTGACTTGGGGGGAGTCCTAGATGCCAGATTAAGGTTTTTTGTTTGTTTGCTGTTTTTGGATGTTTATAAGTTTATTTGAGTGAGCCAAAACCGGTGACGTCAGCTGGAGAGCAAGATCTCAAATGTCCCAGGTTTAGGTTTTAACCTTTTCCATGGGTACCAGGGAGCCGGCAACCATTCTGTAGGGGGCGGCGGTGGCGGGGGGCAGCTGGCAAGGTCACAGATGCACAGAGCACCCTAGTCTGCTTCGGTGGGAGGGGCGAGGACAGCGCAGGGGACCAGTGTGGAGGCCCAACTGGTGGGCCCGGCTGAGAAATAACTGGGGTCTGAATGGGTGAAAAGAACAATGAAAGTGAAACAAAAGGAGAAAAGCAGGATACGTTGATAGATCTGATGGCCATTGATTAAAAACTGGAAAATCAGAAGGCAGGGTGGACTTGGAGGGGGGAAAGAAAACCAGAGCTTGTTTTCCGACTTCTGTGATGGGGAATCTCAGCAAGCCTCCAGGAAGCAGTTCAAACACTAGGTTGCTGCTCATGAGAGAGGCCAGGGCTGAGCCGCAGACCGGGGAGTTGCCGGCCCGGAGAAGACAAGGAGTGCATGGAGGGTGAGGCGGGGAGAGCCAGGGGCGGATCCGGGGGCCCTCTGCGTTAGGGGCTGTGCGAGGCAGAGGCAGAGCCGCCCAAGGAGACAGAAAGCGTTTGCTCGCGTAGGAGGTGGGAAGACCCAGCAGGCAGCTCGCACCACGGCAGCCGGGGTGAGAGCCTTCGTGGTCGGTAAGGGGTGAGACATGGGAGTGGAGAGCGCGTGTCATTCAGGGGATCCCGGCACGGGGAGCTGGACTTGCCGCCCAGAGGTTTTGGCGGGTCTTAAAGGAACAGGGGGGCGCAGGGTCTTGGGGGCGCGATCCCGACTGCAGGAGGACAGGCTGGCTCATTACCAGGGCTGTGTAGAGGGGTCGTCGGTGCAGATTTTCAGGAGCGCAGGCGTCCGGGGCTCATGCCCACAGGTGCTGACTCGACAGGCCTGGGGCAGGGCCCCGCTTTCCGCATCTCTGTCCTTCAGAGGGGCGGCCAGGGCTGGGAAGCGCAAGGTTAAGAAGTGGCAGTTGGGCGGCACCTGTGAAACGACACCTACCCCATGATTCAGCCGTTCCACTTTGGTGTAGACCCAAGAGAAATTAGTCCATTTGTTCCCCAAAGAGCAAATGCAAGACTGGTTTAACACCTTTGTTTACAATGTCCAAAGACTGAAAACAGTCCCACTTCCATCAACAGTAGGACAGACAGACGTGGTACATACATACATACATACATACAGTGCGATGCAACCCCGGCAGTAACATGAAAGGGCTCCTGTTCGCAACAACAGGAGTGAAAGAAGCCGGACACGAGAGAATGTACAGTTGGCCCTGGAACAACACATGCAATAGAAAATACACATGTAACCGTGGACTCCCCCAAAACTTAACTAGTAGTAACTGACCAGAATCCTTACAGATAACATGAACAGTCGATTAACACATATTTGGTATGTTCTATACTGCACGCTTACAACAAACTAAGCTAGAGAAAAAGAAAATGTTGTCAAGAAAATCCAAAGGCAAAGAAAATCCATATATGGTACTGTACGTATTTATTGAAAAAAATCTGCATTTAAGTGGACCCACACAGAACCTGCATCGTGTAAGGGTCCACTGTATGCACCATCTGTAAGTTCAAGAGCAGGCCAAGTGAACCGTTGGAGCCATTAGTCCCAGCAGTGTTGGCCTTGAAGAGGGGATAGTATTGACAAGGAAGGGACAGGGGACCCTCTGTGATGGTGGAAATTTTCTAAATCTTGATCTGGGTAGTGGTTAAATGGGTGTACATGACCGTAAAACTTCCTCAAGCTCTGCATTTGAGATGAGTACACTTCACTCAATATGTTGTACCTCAAGTTAAAAAATACATAAATGGGCCGCCCAGGCAAAAACATCCTTGAAAGAAAATGGCTAAAAAGAAGGGAGAGAAATAATGGAAGGAGATGGCAGAGATAGGCTCTTTCAGGATGAGCACCTTTCCATTCGGAGGCAGAGGAGAGAGAGCTGGAACTTACGGAGATAAGGATATTGAGTAAGGGGGACCAGTATCGTTGCCAGGTTGCTTTGTTTAGTACGCCCAGTGCAAGTGCTGCTCGCAAGTGAAGCCCAGAGAGGGCTTGACTTAGTACGTACTGTTTGAATGGTTGGATGGGCAGATGGGTGGGTGAGTGGGTGGGTGAGTGGGTGGATGGGTGGATGAGTGGGTGATTGAGTGCGTGGATAGATGGATAAGATAAGCAACTGGGAAGATGGATGTGGGTGGATGCATGGGTGGGCGGGTGAAGGAGCAGATGGGTGGTTGTATAGATGGGCAGAGAAGCAGATCAATGGATAGATGTGAGAATAGAGGGGTCAGCTGCGACAGCTGGAGTATGTCATTAAAGCAAGTGGCTGGAGAAGATAAACAGAGCCCGAGTTGAAAACACAGGTAGAGAGTTTCCTCTGAGTTAGACAGAAAGTAAAAGAATGTAAAAACACGAGATGCTGAACTGGGGAGGGGGCGGGCGAGGGGGCCCAGCAGTGGGCCTGGCTGGTTCTAAAGGGGGGGGGTCCAGGGAGTCGGAGAGTGTGGGGGCATGCGGCCAGCGAAGGGGCGTGACGCCGTCTCTGGGGAAATTCTGGAAAGAACCAACAGCGGACGAATTCAAGGGTTGCCGAGGCCCCGCGCTCATCTTTTCTTTTACTCGCCTTCATGCTTTGGGAGTCGCGGGCATTTCACGAAGCTTGTGACTTTGCTTCGCAGATGAAGTACAACCTGCCCTCCTGGTGCGACCGCGTCCTCTGGAAGTCCTACCCGCTGGTGCACGTGGTGTGTCAGTCCTACGGTGAGTGGCCGGTCGGGAGCCCATCTGTAACACGGGAGAGCCCCCTGCAGCCCCGGCCGGGCCGCCTGGAGAAGCGGATGTGCCCTCTCCCGTCTGGGGCAGCAACGGGGCATCTTCCGGTTCGGGTAGCATTTGAATGATGGAGCGCTTTTTAAGAGAAACATAGAGGTCTTTCTTCTGAAAAGGGCGTATTAGGTTTGCTCTATGTGGGATGGTGATTTTCATGGATCAAAAGTAGTCAAACACTGGAAATTGGTGTGGTTCCTCCTCATACATAGTATACATACATGCAGCTGGAGGGATTTAAAGATAAGTTACATGGAAGAAAAAGGCATAATGTGCAATTTTTAAAAAATAAGCATGGGAAGATTATCAAAATGATTAAATAATGATGGACCCTGGAAGTTTACGATATGCTGAAGGAATTCTTAATCGCTTGAGTGCTCATTCTGAGAAGCGAAGTGTTAGCTCCTGTTATTGGAGCTACTCTGCTCTGCGCACTTAAAAATTCAGTCCAGCAGGGCGCTCAGACCCCGAGACTCCCCACACCTTGCGCTCCGAGATCTATGTTAAAAGTCACGAGTCTTTAGGGGAAATGAGCATAGGCACATCTGGGCCACAGAGGGGACCGTGTCACACACTGTTACTGGGACCTTTGGGCATGGTTGTGGGAGGTCAGTGGGAACACGAGCGCAAAACTTCTGGACGCTTCCGTGAGCGTGAGTGATTTTGCTGCGGGGTTGCCAGCCCTGGGTTGACCAGAAGGCTCTCTCCTCCCCTGCTCAGAAACGGCTTCCCTCCCCTGCAGGCAGCACCAGCGACATCATGACAAGTGACCACAGCCCTGTGTTTGCCACATTTGAGGCAGGAGTCACCTCCCAGTTTGTCTCCAAAAATGGTAAGTGGTGGGCAGTGTCCGTCCCTCTGTTGTCCACAAAGACGGGGGCCCTGGGGCACCGCCCTCTGGTGGCAGCCGCCGGCGGCCTGCACGCACGCCCCTCCTTCCGGCACACCCGCGGCCCAGCTGCGTCACGATTTCAGGCCAAGCACCTTCCTGTTCTCTGCAGCACATACGTTGGCTTTTTAAGCCTCACTTTTTAAAAAGATTTTATTTATTTATTTTTAGAGAGGGGAGGAAGGGGGAGAGAGAGAAAGAGAAACATCAATGTGCGGTTGCTGGGGGTCATGGCCTGCAACCCAGGCATGTGCCCTGACTGGGAATCGAACCTGTAACACTTTGGTTCGAAGCCCGCACTCAATCCACTGAGCTACGCCAGCCAGGAAGCCTCCCTTTTAATACCGTCTTTAAAATGGGGTCACTGGGTGTATTCCACAGTGGGGTGCGTCTGCCACCAGAGACACTTCCGGGCGGGACCCGGATGACCGGTTATTGGTAACGCATTTGTCCTAGTATGTTTTGAGTTTGACTCTTCTGTGCAAGGCAGGCAACTCTGGTTTCCCACTTGGTCTTGCGGTGGTAGGCCTTCGTGTTTAAATGCGCTTGTTCACGTTTGAAAAGTGAGTCTGAAGGAGATGTAGGTCGCTGTGAGTGCAGGCAGGTGTGTGGTGGAGAAGACGGGATGAAGATGACCGAGTCTGGGAAACACGAGAGTAAGCGATGCTCAGATTTACAGGTGATTTTTCAAATGACCGAGCTCAGCCCTGGGCCTGGGTGACTGGGGGACACTGTTGTCACTTTCTCTGCCAAACTACCACTTCTGTGGTCAGCGGACAGCCCAGACTCATTCAAGAGCAGCCTTCCTGGGACGCCTCCCCGTGCTGTTGGTCCCCAGGAATGCGACCTACCCTCCCCAAGCGGCCATGACCCATCATCCTCTCTCCTCCCTAGCTCTGACCACTTGGGCTTTCCAGAACCTTCCACCTCTTCCCCAGCTCCCATCCATCTCCCCTTTCCCTGAGGTCCTGCAGCACCGATGGGGAGGGCCCTGCTGTCACACCCTCGATGAGGACCCTCATAGCATCCTCAGGGGCCGGCCTGCCTCCCCCTGGAGCGACTCAGCACCGAGCAGAGGCCCACAAACACCCACGACCTGAAACACCCACAAACCCACACCCTCTACCTAGGCAGAGCCTGGCCTCGGTGCCCTGGTGCTTTAAAAAGGAGAGAAAAGCGAAGTGAAACCAGACAGACAGAAAAACAAGTGCTATGTGGAATCACTTCGTGTGGAAACTTGGGAAAAACAGCAGCCGATCTCACAGATCGTAGGAACAGAACAGGGTGGTGGTTCCCAGGGGCGGGGCAGGGAGGGAAATGGGGAGACGTAGGTTGGGGAGGGGTGCAGACTTTCAGCTCTGAGATGAGGGGGTTCTGGGGTCTGCGCCTCAGCCCGGTGGCAGCGGGTGATCACACGGTGCCATGTCACTGTGCGCGTGGAGCTTACCGAGAGTAGGCCTCGAGCGTTCTCCCCACACCCAAAATCCCCGCAAAAACGGGGGGTGAAGTACGGCGGTGGGTGTGTGAGTTGTCCTGATCTTCGCGGTCATTCCACAACGGGCACGCGTGTCAAAGCGTCACGGCACACGCCTCACATACATGCAGTCGTGTTTGTCAGGGGTTCCTCGGCAAAGCTGGGGACGAGAGAAAAGGACGGGAAAGAAGGAAGGAAGGGAAAGGTAGAGGGGGTGTCTGTCCTTGCCCCGCGGTGGCTCGGGGTCTACGTGAGCAGACTGGACTGGACCCCGCTCACAGGCGGCCTGGGGACGCGTGCGGAAGCGTCGTCTCTGAACAGCGCTGAGTACAAGCTCCCCGCGCACCAGTGAGCGGCCGGGGCTCCGAGTCAGGAGGGGCGGTGGCTGTGCCCGCGGAAGGAAGCGCAGGGGCCCCGCACGGCCTGAACTTGGAAACGAGATGGATCCGTCTCGGCAGCTCTGCCGCACCAGCTCTGTCTGCTGGAACTAGCAGGGAGGCTGAGGCAGTGAGCTTAAGGACGTGGCCGGGGACCACGCAGCTCCAGTGACAAAGCCGCGGGTAGCTCTGACCCGGGACCGCGTGGCTCACCCCACTCTGTCCCCGCCAGTTTGCGGTTCGCCGCAGCTGCTGTTGCCACCTTGGGGACGCTCTTCCGTGTGGGCGGCGGCGGGGCTTCAGGGCAACCTCTCTCCCCCTGGGCTCTCGCCGTCCCCGGCCCCGGGGGGCAGCGCCCCGTCTGCAGGCACGCTGTGGGTCCAGATCTCTGCTCTTACCTGTTCCAGGCCCCGGGACTGTCGACAGCCAAGGGCAGATCGAGTTCCTCAGGTGCTTCGCCACCCTGAAGACCAAGTCCCAGACCAAATTCTACCTGGAGTTCCACTCGAGCTGCTTGGAGAGTAAGGGCTGCGGGACTTCCTTCCGCTCTCGTGGCCTCTCCGTGGGTGGTCCTTTGCCCCGTTGCTCCTCTCTGGGGAAGACTCGTGGGTGCATTTCAAGGGGGGGGGTCAGAGAAGGGGGGTTGCAGGCGGAGGGTACAGGGGGACACCAGTGGTGGGGGGGGTGGTTCCCAGGGGTCTGAGATGCTCCACTCCAGGGACAGGGCCGTCACTGCAGTCATGACCCCTAGCCCCTTGTAGGTGACCCGGGCAGCTGGATCCTTTCCTCACCCTTCAGGGCAGAGTGTAGCCCACGCAAGGGTCCCTCCAGGCCCAGCTCTGACAGAACCAGAGGGTCCTGGGCAAAGGTCCAGAGCTCCTGGGGTCTGTGCCAGGCCCTGAGCCGCCCGCTCTTCCCCGGGGTCTTCTGCTCTTTTCTGCACCACAGACAGCTCCCCCGGGGGGTCTGGAGCCCCCCTCAGCCAGCAGCAGTTAGCACAGAACTCCCCTCTAGGTGACACTTGGCAGACCTGCTGTCTGAGGCTGTTCCGCGTGGGCAGACTCCTGGGGTTTCTAGGTCTTCTCTCTGGGATGGTGTGGGGAGTGGTGGTGGTAGTGAGGGGGCGGGGAGAGTGGGGGAGAGGTGGTGACGGGATGGTGGAGAGTTCCCAGAAATCAGGAAGAAGGCCCCGGCCCCCCGCACAGTGCTGCCCCACCCCCTCCCTTCTCAGACTCCCCTAGGCCCGGCCCCCGGTGAGAGACCCACCTTCTCCACGTATGTCCGGTGAAGTCTCCAGGTCCCAGTTCACAGAGCAGGGGCAAAGTACTTCCAAAAAGGATGAGGACTTTTGTGAGGGCGTTTTTTAATAAATTATTGAGATATTTGCATACATCTCTATGGAAACAGCATATTAGGGAGCTTAAATTAGCATCTCAAAGGCTGCCTCCTTGAGCGGCGTGGGAGAGCTGTCGCGTTCCTGATCTCCTTGCCTGCGAAGCTCTGAGTTCCTCGTTGCCTGGTTCATTGCACAAAGGAGACTTTAAGGAGAGAAATCTGATTTTCCTAAAAATAAATAGACCCCATTGGCACCTGGCCATCCCCTGCACCAGCACAGAATCCCCGGCATGCCTGCCCCCCCCAGACGATGCTGTGGCCCCCGCAGACATAAGGGGCAGGACGGCATCTTCGCCGGCCCAGGTGGGGCGGCCCCAGGAGCCTACCTGTTCCCTGAAAACCGGCCCCCTTGTCCCCCGACAGGTTTTGTCAAGAGCCAGGAAGGGGACAATGAAGAAGGGAGCGAAGGGGAGCTGGTGGTGAGGTTTGGCGAGACCCTTCCAAAGGTAACGCGAGAACAGGACACGCACACACACACCCCCACCTGCCCGGGAGGGTTTCACAGCTACGCAGCCAGCCGCGCCGGGCAGTGACAGAGCCCCGGCCGGACCTGCCCCGAGGGAGTGGGCCTCCCGGTGCCGAACGCGGACGAGGCTGCTGCAGACCCGCCCCCCCCCCGTGGGTGGCACCAGCCCTCTGCTAAGGCGGTCTGTGGTGCCCTGCTCGGCGGTGGCTAAATGTGGTCCTGTGTCCAGCAGCCCCAGTGTCTCTGAAGGGATTTCAGTTCCCGTGAGGTGTTGTGGGAGGGATGGAGAGGTCGCCTTGGCTGACCACGTGGCTTTGCAAAGAGGGAAACTGAGGCAGATCCCAGAGAGGTTTGTCCACGGTCACCCGACTTCAGTGACAGACCCAGGACCCCCGTGCCCCGAGGCCCTGATTCCCCCGCAGTGAGTGAGTGAGTGCTCCTTCGCCTGGTCGGCCCTGGCTCCGAGGGTCAAGCGCAGGCGTGGAGAGGAGGCCACGGGCTCCTGTGCGGACGTGAACGCAGAGAGAACTTGAGGTGACTGTGGCCCGTGCGAGCAGAGGGCTACCACTTAAAACGCGTAGGCAGACCTTAGCGGGGACACGTTCGTCTTCACTGCGGAAAGGCATGGCTTTCTCCCTGGAACCCGGGGCAGTTTGGGGATGTTCGGTTGACCGTGAACACGTCTGGGTGTGTGCGCTGGGCGCACAGTGGAGGGGAGGACCTGTGTCTTCGTCACATAGCGAGGGAGGTGGCACAGGGGCAGTTACAAGGCTGGGATGATCTGTCGCTTGGGGCGGGGTCTTGGGGCCTCTCCTGGAGGGTCCCCTCAGAGGTGACACCCGAGGTGAGTTTTGGAGGATGGCCTTTCACAGCTGGAGGGACCTGTCCTCTCCCAAGGCTGCGGTGGGGTGTAGGCAGGTTTCGAGGGGCTGGGCTGCCCATGCTGGCACTCACTGGTGATTGGCACCAGCTCTCGGGCCACCCTCACGAAGGCCATGCCGTCTCAGGAGCAGAGGCCGCACCCGAACCACAGTATTCTAGTTCAGGTGCGCTCTGATGGGGGGTCCCCCACGAGGTGAGGCATGGTTGTCAGACGTCCTGGGCTGTTTTCAGGTTCACCTGCATCCAGGTGGATCTGGGCGCCACCCACCCTCCTGCTGCTTCTCCCAGCTGCCCCCACACAGCACCCAAGTGCTTGTTTCCTCCTGTGTTCAAGTCAGGCCAGCGTCCCAGTCCCTGCCGCACCCTGTCCACTTCGGGGACCTCTAGGGTGCTCCTGTCCCCACATCCTGACCGCCGCCAAGACCCAATGCTCTGTCTCTGTCCCCTCCTCTCCACCTGCTGCCACCTCCCAGCTGTCTCCATGCTCCCGTCCTCTCACTGAGAAGCCTGATGGAATTTGCTGGAATGCCCGTCTCCTCCTGGCACACCCTCCTTTGTCCGCCAACTCCCTGGTGGCCCACGGGGTGAGCCCAAGCCCCTCGGCTTGGCTCCCAGCCCCCCTCCATCTCCAGCCTCATCTGCTCCCACAGCCCCTCAGGGGCCTGACTCTCTGCTGCCCCCCCGAGACCCTCACCGCCGCTCTCACTGCCTCCGCTCACTTCACCCTTTCCAACCCCTTTGAGACGCCCGGCACTCTCTGCTGCCCCCTGCACCCATGGTGAGTGTGCACCCACAGACACTCATTCAGATGTCACCTGCTCCCTCCCCCCGCTCCCACTGTTCCCCCAGGGGTGGGACCTCCCTGCATGCGCAGTGCCTGGCCCTGGGTTTTATTACGAGGCGGCCGCCAGGCTGTGAACAGAAGTCAGTGAACAGAGTGATTGGTGCATCTCTGGAACCCAGAATGCCTTGGAGCACCCACTGCGATGTCCAGTCATCTGTTCTGGAACTTTCTGTCACTCAGCATGGCACCAGGGGTCTCTGTAACTGTGGGTGGGAAGCAAGGGGACAGCCTGGAGCAACGCAGTCGGGGACAGGGCTAGAACTCGGGATCTGTGCCTCTCCGCCACACAGCCACCTACCCACAGGACAGTCCCGACCCACCGGGTGGCTCCACGGGGGCGGACACGGAGGCCTTGGGTGCCACGGTCACGACAGCCTCCGTCCTGGGAGGGGCTGCGGCTGGAACAGCACCCTGCCCTGGGGCCTGGGGTGGGGGCGGGTGCACGCAGACCTGGTTCCTGGTCCGGTTCCCTTTGGCTGGCCCGCCTGGCCCCTGGGGATGGCAAAGGAGGGCAAGGGAGACAGGGACGGTGCGGCGTGTTTGGGGTCTGGCCCGGTCCCTGGGGCCTGGGGTTCAGCGTGAATGGGGGACGGGGACAGGAAAGGAAGTTGAGCCCACCGTCACCTCGCTGGGTATGGAGCACCTGTGGCTTCCTCCCTGCTCTCTGGGCACGGCAGGCAGACTCAGATGTGCTTCATACCGACACGCACAGGCCTGCTTCCTCCAGCGTCCTCTCCTCTGGGCTGGCGACCCTCGCCTGCCTGTCCCCGACCTGTCACCTCTAACCCCGTGCCCTTTTCTCTGCAGCTGAAGCCCATTATTTCCGACCCCGAGTTCCTGCTGGACCAGCACATCCTGATCAGCATTAAATCCTCCGACAGCGATGAATCCTACGGTGAGGGTCCCTTGGGTGCCTCGGGTGTCTTACCTGCTGTGTGCCGGTGGCCTCTGATGTAAGGGAAGCGGTGGCATCTCCGCCACAGAAAGCCCCCCTTCCGTTCCCCACCCTACTCTCCTGCCGCTCCTTGCCCCAGGCCGGGGCTGCCAGGGGACAGTCACTGGTCAGTCGCCCTTCCCGCCACAGCAGCCACCGCCTCTCCCATGTCTTGAGACTCCTGTGTCCGATTCCGTGCTGGGCTCTTTGCAGGCATTTAAATACTGTGTTCTGACAAGGCCGTATGAAGCGGACACTGTTCTCCCAGTTTGTAGATGAGAAAACCGAGGCGCAGCGAGGGGAAGGGGCTTGCCCAAGTCATAGGGGTAGGAGCCGGCTGAGCCCTCGTCTGAACCCAGGTCCGCCCAGCACTGCTCAGCGCTCGGGCCAGCGGCCCCGCCAGCTGTGCTGCTGGAGAGACATCATTCTGTGTAACGCCGTCAGCCTGTGCATGGCTGCAGCCCAGGGTCAGGTCCGCCCTCGCACTTGGCTAGTCGGTGTGTCTGCAGCATGGAGTGAGAGGGTAGGCGGCCAGGAGAGGCCAGGGGCAAGAGCCTGGTCAGGCAGCCGCGCGTACAAGCTGAGGGGCAAACACCTGATCCTCGGGGCACGGGATCACGTGATCAGCTCTCCCTCTCACACACGTGTTGGCAAGGATCAAGGGGACAGACAGGGGTCCACAGTGAAAGTAGTGGCAGTGAAGATGGAGAGGTGGGGTGAACCTGAGAGGTGGTACGAAGGGGCGTGGTCTGGCTTTGGGAATCGGGAAAGTGGGGTGTCGAGGATGGCCCTGCACTTCTGGTTCGAGGAGCTGGGGTTTCCATTTCCTGACCTCGGCCCGCTGAGGTGAGGGGCGGGCCCAGGAGGTGGGCAAGCACGGTCGGACGCGGTGGCATCGGGGGCGCGGTCAGAGCTGGTTTGAGAAGCAGGCAAGGGCATGATGGCAGATGTGCCTGAGAGATCCAACAAAATAAAAACTCAGCCCTGGCCCTTAGAGCGACTTGGGGACCATCGTGGCCGCGGCGAGACAGCGTTCCCAGGCGGTTAGGGAGTGAACGGCGGTGGGGGGTGCGGTGAGGAAGCCGGGGAGGGGGGGGGGCTGAGGCCGGCAAGACTGTGAACCTGGTCCGGGGAGGGGTTTGTTTTCGGAGGGAGGAAGTTGGAGGTGCTCAGAGCTGACGGTGGAGGGCCGGGAACAGAGAGGGGCATGGGTGCCCCCGGGCGCTCTCGCCCGCTGTGCAGACTCGGCCCTGAGAAGCCCTGAGATGTGAGGACAGTCACTGCCCTTGTTGCAGAGGTGAGGACAGGAAGCAACTTGTTCAAGGTCATGTAGCTGCTTGGACAAACTGCTGTCACAGTGGCTTTGACAAGCTACGGTGCGACCTTGGACTCGAGCCCAGGCAGCCCAGCTCCAGAATCAGGCCTTTCACCCCCTCCCGGGACGGCACTGGAAAGAGGGTCCCTGAGCCAGGGCAGGGGCCGGGCAGAGCCTGGGGTGTCCTGGCTCCAGATCCGAATCTCCTGTCCATCGAGACGGGGCAAAGAGAGAGGTTCCGTGTGGATGCCAGAACCCGCAGGTTCGGTGGCAGGAACCGGGAACTCGGGTCTGATGGTTCCGTTTCCTCGGTCAAGCACTGTCTGCCTCCTTTGTTGCCTATTCTGGGAATGCATGCTCGCAAAGAGTGCGCTGCAATAGCAACAGAGAAAAACACCCACCGGCGGTCGGTCCCCCTCCCCTCTCTCTGCACCGGTCCTTTCTGTTGTGGCTTCGTGCTCGCACCCTCTCGCACGCGTGCGCAGGTTTCTGCCTCTCTAATCATCACGGAGATGCCGTTTATATTCTGCTCTCCTCACCTTGTGTTCGGTAAGACCCACTTTCCGTGATTCTCCCCCATGGTCTCTGCGATTGTTGCTTTTTCACGGCTTCCTAATATTCCGTGGGTGTGCCGTCTCCTCATTTTTAAAGGTCGCCTTTATTACTGTTACTGCCGGTGGTGTTTGTTGGTGTGATCAGTGATGCTGAGATGGATCTTTGTGGGGGCATTTCTTATTCTCCTGAAGCTACTTTTTTTTTTATTGTTTGGGGTCATCTCTTTAGGATGAGTTCCCCTGTTTGCAGGTCAAAGGGTGTGAACATGGGCATGATCCTTGGTCCTTGTTATCAAGCTGATGGCCCGCACTGACCTTGCCCCGTCCCAGGGCACGGGTTTTCCCGGTCCGGGCCGGCGCTGGGCGTCTCTTCCCTCCTCCTATTTTGGGCAGAGTTCAAGGCCATGAGGGCCCCTTTGTGCTGCCTTCATGTGCGTCGCTGACGGCTTCCGAGGCTGGATGAGTTCCCCTTTACTGAAATTAGCCAGCTAACAATTCTTTTGTGTGAAATGACTGTTTGGGTGATCTGCCTATTTGTCAGCTGGGGGTTTAATTTTGAGGAGTTCCTCGTGAGTTCAGATAAAACCCGCTTTGTTGAAGCTGACTTCCGTGAATGGTTCCAGTCAATCATCTCGTTTTCTTTTTCTTTTTTTCCCCCTCTGTGTAAAAGTTTTAAACTTTTATGACCTCTTCCCTGTCAGTCTTATTTTGTCATTTCTGACAGCCTCCAACTGTGGAAAGTTGTCATTCCTTCCAGCCATCAGATTAGGATTTAATTCTGTTTTTCTGCGGGATGCTCTGTGATTTCATTTCTTTTTCACACCAACTAGTCTGCGCGGAGCTGGCCTGCTGTAAACTTGGCCACGTTTCCCCAGGTCGCCGGGGCATGTTGGACCACAGGCTGATTCGAGGGTCCCTGCCCTGGCCATTGCCTTGAAAGCCCGCCTCCGGTGGCAGAGCTAACTCTCCGGGCCAGATCCGCGGTGTGTCTCCCGTGAAACGGTGGGGCCTTGACCTGACTCTTGTCCCCGCCACGTCCCCAGGCGAGGGCTGCATTGCTCTGCGGTTAGAGGCCACGGAAACTGAGCTCCCCATCTACACGCCCCTCACCCACCACGGAGAGATGACGGGCCACTTCCGGGGGGAGATCAAGCTGCAGACGTCCCAGGGCAAGATGAGGGAGAAGCTGTACGGTAAGCAGGCTCCAACCACCCCCCGGCCCCCTCCATCCCCTCGTCCCCCTCAGCGCCGCGGGGTTAGGGACGGGAGTGTGGTTCCTCTCGGCAAAGCTGTTGAATCTCCTGCCTGACGGCCAGGGGTCGTCCCTGTGTGGTGGGCGGGGACACGGAACCACAGAGAGTGCTTGGCTGAAGGTCGTACACGGAGGAAGCAGCCAGCCCGAGGGGAAGCCCGGTGCTGGGCAGAATTTGTAAACGTGATGGGGTCCTGCCTTGCGCGACAGCGAGGCAGGGGGGCTCCCTGCCTGGGGACTGTCCGGCACCCAGTACTCCTTGCAGGGGGCACTGGGCCGTTGGGGTGCTGCCTCGCACGGACGGGGACCACCCCCTTGCCCTGTGGGAGCTCCTTTCTCTAGCAGGACCTTGGGTGTGAGTGAGGGGACCTCTGCAGCCATACACGAGAGTTGGAAGTGAAGACACGTCCCACCTGCCCTTTAAACGCATGAGGGGGTTGGCTTTGGTACCAGGAGCTCTGGGGGAGTCACCTTGTTATGTATATATATTTTAATGATTTATTTATTTTTAGAGAGGGGGAAGGGAGAGAGAAAGAGAGAGAAAGAGAGAGAAACATCAATGTGTGGTTGCTTCTCCAGTGCCCCCTACTGGGGACCTGGCCCGCAACACAGGCATGTGCCCTGACTGGGAATCGAACTGGTGACTCTTTGGTTCGCAGGCCAGCACTCAGCCCACTGAGCCACACCAGCCAGGGCTGTATATTTGTTTTATTAGGATCTGCCAAGAATAATTTGCCTGTTTTGTCCCTTGCCACCAAGGGACAAAAGTTGGAAGTGTCACATGAAATGACCTGCCTGGGTCCCATGTGCCAACTCTCCTCCCTCTGGAGCCATGGCAGACAGAACTAATCAATCACTGAACTCGCATGAGGCCTCCAAGTCTCGTAGAGCCCACCTGCCCAGGTAGCCGGTGTCCGCCGTCTGGCTCCGGCTCGTCCGTAGAACCCTCCGCCCTCCTGGCCCGGACTCTGCCTGCTGGGCCCTCACGTGCTCTGTCCCGGCCTCTCCTTGCAGACTTCGTGAAGACGGAGCGGGACGAGGCCAGCGGGCCCCGGTGTCTGAAGAGCTTCAGCAGCCACGACCCCATGAAGCAGTGGGAGCCCACCAACAGGTACAGGGCGGGGGTTACCAGGGTTTCCCTGCAGACGACTGGCCTTGCAGACCCAGGACCCAGGGGAGGGGAGGGGGAGCAGGGAAACTGAGGGCCTGGAGGGAAAGAGGCGCTGTCCTGCTTCCAGCTCCAAGGTGTCAGGCCGCTAACCTGTGGCCCTGTGGGGATTCGTGTGACTTGGGTTGAGCACCTACTGTGTGCAAGTTCTGGAGAAACCAAGGCAGATAGGTGCCACCCCTGACTGAGGCACTCACAGCCCAGATAGAGGCCCTGTCCAGGAGAAAACACATGTGGGGACGGCTGCGTGGAACGGTGGCCAGGTCCCCCATGGACCGGCAACGTCGGCAGTCTTGGCACCGGAGGCAGCAAACGCTGTCCTGTTACTAAGGGGAGAAGTCGGCGGAGGCAGGGTGTGGGGGGACACACACAGGCTGCTCTTGCCAGAGCCAGGACTGGCAATAATGGGACGTTGTAAGAGTCGCCTCAGCTCTCTGGTGGGGCCTCGAGCCCCAGCAGGAAGCCCGCGAAGGCTGTCGTGGTCTCTGTGCCTGCTCACCCGCCGAGGGGACATCCAGACGCCGCTGCCACCCCCAGCGTGCTGGCCACTTTGGTCCCTACACCACCTGTCCATCCGTCCGGCTCTCACCCACGCCACGCCCCCCCCCCCGCACGCCCCGGGGAACATGGGAACTCACATCTCCAGACCATTCCCTCGTCTGCGTCCAACTCCTGGGGGCTGTAGCCACGGGTGCTGAGTATCTCCTTCCGATCCTTTTCTCCGCTATTATCCCATCGACAAAAGTGTCGTGGCTCTCACCTGCGCCCTCGGCTCCAGGGTCAGGGTCAGCGTAGGCCTGCAGGTCATTTCCCTTTTCACTGGTGGGAGCGTGAACAGTGCCTGTGCGGGCGTGGAACCAGGCTGGCTGAGGGCATGGGCACCGGGAGGGTCGTCGTAACCTGGAAACTCAGAACTCTGGTAGTTTGTTCTCACGATAGATAGCGCCGTCTTCCAAAGAGGGACAACGGTTCTGTCCCCAAGGGGCGGCGCAGGGCTGGAGTCTCAGGTCACCTCGCCCGGGCCCGGGCCGTCTGCTCTGACTGCCCCCTGTGTGTGAGGCTCCAGCCTTGACCTTCGTGCCCCCATCTTCAAATGCCCACGTGGCCACTTCCATTCTCATGCTCATACCCCGCTGTGCACGCTGACACGTCTCGGGTGGAACGCCCCGTGTGCCTCCCCCCCAGCCTCCCCTCCCGCACGGCCACTCGGCCCCGCCGGCCTGGACAGCGCTCACTCCATTCTCCCCACTGGGCACCCTCCCCGCGGCCCCTGGAGTAGTTAAGCCCCTCCCCCGCCAGGGCCATGGCAGTAACTATGGTCTCCCCCGTCCTTCCTGCCCGCCTCCTCAGTCAGGCTTTCCCTGGCCACCCTGGGCCCGGTGGGTCCTGACGCTCCTGCCAGCCCCGCCCTGCCTCTTCGGTGACTCAGTTGGACTTCGGCACCAGGGACACGCCAGGTGTCCCAGTCCCTGAGCAGGTCTGGTTGGCCTCCTCCAGCAGACCTGAGCTCCGGGGGAGCGGGGACTGCACTGTCTCCCGCACAGCCGTGTTCTCTCTGCCTGGCCCGGGGCCCGGCGCTCCTGGGCCTGCAGACACTGCTGTGCTGTGTGAATGAATGAACGAAGGTGGGGCGGTGCAGCGAGGGAGTGGAGGGCATCCTGAGGGGCCCTGAGGAACATCAGAAGACACCGTCCTCGGGTGGGGAGGGGAGGGGAGACCTGACGTGGGCCTTCGTGTGTGTCGCCCACAGGGTCCCTCTCTGCACGGGCTCCGGCATCACCGAAATCATCAACCCCAACTACATCGGCATGGGGCCCTTGGGGCACATGAAACAGGCCCTGTCCCCCGACCAGCAGCCCACCGCCTGGAGCTACGACCAGCCGCTCAAGGACCCCTCCCTGGGGCCTGGGCGGGGGGAGAGCCCTCCGACGCCACCCTCCCAGCCGCCCATATCGCCCAAGAAGTTTTCGTCCTCCACGGCCACCCGGGGCCCCTGCCCCAGGACACAGGAGTCCAGGTGAGCACGCCCCCCACCGAGGCCTGTCCCTTCCCCGGGCCCTCGCTGCTGGGGACCCAGCCCCGGGACGGCAGCTGCAGGGGGGCAGGGGTGGTGTCTGCTTCCGTCCCTGACTCATCCCCGGGGCCTGGAACGCGACGGGCACCGGAGAAGGACTTGCCGTCCCACCCTGTGGGTGTGACTGGAAAGGCTTTTTAAATAGAACATCTTAAAGATACTGTCAAGAAAAGGACTGTATTTTTTTTTTTGCCTTGCATAATGTGCACCCACGTTTTTGTGCACATTCTACACGGGGTCATTTATACCCGTGGACCGTACTCGTTACACCCACGCATAATATGCAGCGTATTTTTCCCTCAAAAATTTGGGCAAAACAGTGCGCATTATACACAGCATCATGTGGTGCCCTTGTATTGAAACTACATTTATTGAAAAATGCGTTTCTAAGACCAGTGGACCCTCAGGTCGCTTGCTGCTCCCTGGAGGCCCCCGAGGAGCCGCGGTGGGGATCTCCGTGCAGAAGTCCCTCTCCAGCTGCAGTTCCCTTCTCTGCCCCCGGCTGCACACCGCCTGCTCCCCCGTGACCGTGCTAGAAACTCTCCCGGCTCTGCTGTTAAGGGCCGTCGGGGAAAGGCGCGGCCGAGGCCAGGAGAGGGCAGCTAGCCTGCAGAGAGGGAAGGGCTGGGGCCATGAAACTGCGGGAAAAGGCAGGAGGTCAGAGAAAGCTGACCCGTGTCTAGAAGAACTACAGGTGTCGGTAGGGTCGGCGGGGACGGGGGGGAGAGCCAGGGAGGAGCCACGGCCGCCCGTCACGTGGGCACCGGAACCCAGCAGACTCACTCAGCAGTATCATCGCGTGGAGCCGGGCGAGTCTCTAGCAACCGCAAGTGGCAGAGGGAAATGAGAAGTCCCGGGGCAGAGCCCCACGAACGACGACGGCAGATGCGCAAAACAGCACCGGCGTCTCTGTCCTTGGCAGCTGTCTTCATTGTTTGTGACGCTTCGGGGGGCCACCTGCTGCCCTTTACGGGCGGTTCTGTTTCTCGGTCGTGCTTTCTGTCCCTTAGTGGGACCCGGGGACGACGGGAGTGTGGCCCAACAGTGTCGCCCTCTTCTCTCTGCTTCCATCCTTGTCCAGAGGCAGTTTACAGTTTTATTCCTGAAGCTTTTCCTCTGGAAATAAATAGTAAAAGTGGACAGATGAGCGGCAGGGAGGAAGGTAGCTGGCGGGAGGGGGCCGGAGAGGACCAGGAGGGAGGCGTGCCCCGAGCCCACCGCGGCCCTCTCTGTGCCCCCAAGTTCGGAAGGTGTCGGCGGTGTTCAGGAGGAAGGAAGAACGAAAACGAGGGTAGAGGCCACCGCGCTGGGCGCCGAGGTGCCCGTTTAGCAAAGCCGCCTCTTCGGCAGCCCGGGGAACCGGTCTGTGGACAGCCACCTGGAACAAGGAGACCATCCGAGTGGAGTGTTTCTCAGTTCCCAAAGTTAGCGAGTCTTTGTGCTGAACCAGTTGAGCATAGCACACGGTTTGGAAGGGGGCGGGAGGGTGGGGTGTTCCCTCCAGCTTCACGGGAGACAGCTTTAGAATGGGGACATCTGTGGGTAGGGCCCCCCCAGGTGGCGTTTTAAGCTCACCTGGGGGGGCAGGTAGAGGAGTTAGCTCCCCCCCATCCCTGCCTGCAGCCTGCTTCATTGTGCAGGCCCCGGCTCAGCCGGAGCAAAGGCTACAGGAAAGGGGGTGTCACCAGCTTCCTCCATGTCACCCCACTATTTCCCTACACCCTAGTAGGATGACCGGCCATCCCAGTGTGCCCGAAGAATCCCACACCCCGGGGAACCCCGGGGAACCCTTGAGTCCTGGGCGCACCTGCACAGCCGCTCGCCCTGGACCAAGGCCATGTGGTTAGCCAGAAAGACGGCTGTTCTCAGGCCCTGCCGAGTGCCTGGCTGCTTTAGCCCCGACTCCAGCATCCGAGGAACCGACTCCGGCCTCCGAGAGGCCGAGTCCTTCTGCCGCGGGAAAGAGCTCTGTGCCCTGGATACTGGCTCGCTTACTCCACAGCCGTGGCCTGCGACGGGAGTCGGTTTCCTTTCACCTCTGGCCGTGGAATTAAGGCTTTTTCCATCTTTTTGTGGTTTTCCCAGCCTCCCCTGACCCGACCAAGCTTTCCCCTCTGGCAGTGACAGCATCCCCTCCCAGAGTGGGGACTTGACCTGCGCGGTCGCTGCTCTTGCCGCGGGGGACTGAGCTTTGGAACCCCCAGAAGGATTACATCCAGGGCCCTGTTCCCGGCCCCGCCCCTGATTCCTGGGGAGAACCCACTCCTCCTGGCTTGGTCGCCGAGAGTGCCTGTCAGGGGCCAGATCGCTCATTGTCCTTTTCTCCTTCTTACCTCTTCACTAGAAGCTTCCGGTCGGCGCTGCTTGCCCGCCCCTGCCCCTTCCTCCCTGGGCCAACTCACAGCCGAGGTCTTCGAGGATCCAGACCGGGGACAGAGGGTGGCCTGAGGCAGAGGGGTGGCTTTCCAAAGTCTTCTTTCGAGGCCCCAACATTCCTCATTCCACGACTGCTTCCAGGTCTTTCCAAAGGGGAGCGAGCCCAAAACTGAGTCTGCAGTCGGGCCTCCATCGGCGTGTCCCCGAGGCCAGCCTGCCCGACGCCCCCTGTCATGCTGTCTCCTTGGCACCTGGGCAAGGATGCCATCTTGCCCTGTCCCCCCCCCCCGGCCCCCTCCATACTCCCCAAAGAGCCCGTTGACCTTGGCTGCTCAGTGCCTTTGAGCTGGGTGTCAGGACACGTTCTGTGGGTCAGAGGCGGCGTGGCCTGCAGTCAGTGGGTTCCCAGGGACCCACATTTTCTCCACGGCAGCCTCCTCCTCGCAGGAAGCAGGACCCAGAAGACCCCCCCCACCCCCATACCCCGGGAGATTATGCCACTGGCCAGAAAGTAAAATGGGTTCCCCTTCCTGGTGTTCCTGGTTCTCCTCCTTTGCTCGGCAGAAACCCCACTATCTAGTAAGAGCCCCGAGAAATCGGGAGACCGGCAAACAGAGGCGTGTTCCCCCCCTCCAGCTGTTCGTCAGCAGCAGGCCCACTGGCTCGCTGCTGGCGGCGTCCCCGGCTCCAGCTTCCCTGGGATTGCCCCTGTGACCACGGGGTTTTCCCCCCACTCTAAGTGAGGCCAGGGAGGAACCGCAGTCCCCAGGACCCCGCCGGGGAGGGCACTGTGTCCGTCAGGAATGTGGGTCTCCTGAGTCCAGATTTTGTCCGTTCGTGGCTGACTCCTTTGTCAATGGCTCTTACACATCTGTGAAAGGAAACCCCTTGAACAGGGACACTCAGGTAGCACAGATGGGGACTGAGGGTGTCTGGTCACCTGTAAGGCTTCCGTTCCCCAGGGGTCAGAGCAGAATTTGGTAGAGACGTCAGAGAGGCTGCGGGATCCTTGGGGATGGGGGTGGGGTGGGGACCAGGAAGGCAGGCCTGTAGCAGCAGTGGGGGGCAGGGCTGAGGAGGGCGGGCTTGTCCGAAGAGGGCCGAGGGGCTGGTTTTGACATTGGTGGTGCCATGTGAGCCCACTCTTCCCTGTGAATAGGTGTTTTTTGTTTGTTTGTTTTTTTCTTAAAGATTTTATTTATTTTTAGAGAGGGAAAGGGAGGGAGAAAGAGAAGGAGAAAAACATCAACGTTCGGTTGCTTTTCATGCGCCTCCTACTGGGGATCCGGCCTGCAATCCAGGCATGTGCCTTGACTGGGAATTGAACCGGGGACCCTTTGCTTTGCAGTCTGGCGCTCAGTCCACTGAGCCACACCAGCCAGGGTCCTGTGAACAGTTTTTATAGCGGAAAAGGCCCAGGCGACATGGAGGTTACCTATGTGATCATCAACATACAAGTCACACAGTTTCTCTTCCTTTCGTGTTTAATTTTGTTTTTAATTGAGACAAAACTCACGTAACATAGATTAATGATTTGAAAAGGGAGCAACTTGGTGGCATTCAGTGCTTTGCAACGTCGTGCAGCTGCCGCCTCCCTCCGCTGCCAAACGTTTTTGCCAGCCCCCGAAGCAAACGCCATCGGCATCAAGCCGTCATTCCCATGGGATTCCCCCCTGTCCCCTCTTTCTCCCTCTGCAGGCCTGGCGACCTAGAACCTTTGCCTCAGGAGGAGCCCAAGCTGGCCAAGCCCGAGATGTTCGAGAACCCACTGTACGGGTCTGTGAGCTCTCTCCCCAAGCCGGCTCCCAGGAGAGAGCAGGAGTCTCCCAAGATGCTGAAGAAGGAGCCCCCGCTGTGCCCAGACACAGGGTCCTTGTCGCCCAGCATCCTGCTCTCCAAAGCCCAGGAGGCTGAGGGCAGCAAGGGGGCAGGCAAGCCGGTGCCCACGCCCCCACCCTTCCTCAGTCCCACGCCCCGGCTCCGCTCCTTCACCTGCTCGACCTCAGCTGAGGGCCGGCCGGCCGCTGGGGACAAGAGCCAGGGGAAGGCCAAGGCCCCCACCGGCGCCCCGGTCCCAGTGCCAGCCAAGAGGCCCGTCAAGCCTTCCAGGTCGGAGCAGAGCCAGCAGGTGCTGCCCACCCCAGCCCCACGGCCGCCCCTCCCGGTCAAGAGCCCGGCAGTCCTGCACCTGCAGTACTCCAAGGGCCGCGACTACCGCGAGAACACCGAGCTCCCCTACCAGGGCAAGCACCGGCCCCCCGAGGACTCGCCGCTCAGCAGGGCTACCACGCAGGTGCGCTGGGGTGCGTGGGGGGGTGCGTGTGTGTGCACGAGCAAGCGACACAACCACCACGCTGAGGAGTGCACGCACATAGGCTCATGTGTATGCATGTGCACATGCATGACAACCACCGTGTCCAGGACCTGTGTGCGTGGGAGCTCCTCTGCATGCATGGACATGTGTGTGAATGTGCATGATCATGACAACCCAGCTCAGGAGTGGGTTCCAGTAAACAGTGGTTCTGGGAGCCGTTCCATGAGGAAGGGGTGGAGCCAGGATTTGAACCCGGGGCTGTCGTGAAGGTCCCTGCTCCAAGAGTGAAAGGGTTATAGGAGGGACTGTGGATAAACTCTGAGCCTGCCCAGATCATTTACATGTCATTAATATTAGTACTAAAGATTTCCCAGGATTGTAGACACTTCAGGTGCACTGTCCCCTTCCTTTTTATAAAATAGATTTTTTTTCTTTTTTTAAGATTTTATTTATTTATTTTTAGAGAGGGAAGGGAGGGAGATAGAGAGAGAGAGAGAAAAACATCAATGTGTGGTTGCTGGGGGTCATGGCCTGCAACCCAGGCATGTGCCCTGACTGGGAATCGAACCTGCGACACTTTGGTTCACAGCCCGCACTCAATCCACTGAGCTATACCAGCCAGGGCTTAAGATAGATTTCTTTTCGAGCAGAACTAACAGTGCTAATAAGACTGTGGAGCCCGACTGTGTTGGGTGTAAGTCCCCCGCGCCCACCTCCTGACGCTGTGCCTTGAGCCTCGGTTTACTCATCTATAAAAAGGGGGCTCTTAGGGGAGCCTGCCTCATAGGTTTGTGAGGAGGCTTCAGTTTTTTTGCACGCCATTACTCTATGCTGTAGTTGACATCCAAGTCGTGTGTGTGTGTGCCATGCACACACACACAACATGATGTGCGTGCGTTAGAATGTGCTTGAAGTGCTTAGAGCACAGTACTCAGTGTCGGCTCCCTCCAGCGCTCAGACGAAGGAACCCTGACCTAGCGCACCGTGTGCAGGGACCTGGGGACCCTCGGTCAGTCAGACCCGGCCTGGCGAGAATGCAACACTGACTGACCGACCCCTCCTGTCCTTGGCCCGCAGTGAAGCGCCCGGTGAGCCGCCAGCGAGACCGGAGCCCGAGCAGCCGCGCCCAGCCACTCCAACACTCTCCCGGGACTTCCTGTCGGCCCCTCCTCCCCAGCCTCCTGTGCAGGGCCGCACACTTTCCAGGAGAGGCCCGGCTCCTGCGTGACCAGCGGCCTGTGCCGGCTCCAGACTCGGCCCCTCGTGCGGAGGTTGGAAGGGAAAGCGCACCCGGTGGGCGACGAGCCCCCGGCGCACCTGGGCCCCCAGCTCGATCTCGGTACTTGGGACCCAAGAGCCTCGTTCCGGTCACTGCTTTTGAAGAAAGGAACTGAAATGCTGATTTCCGGGTGGAGATATAAATAATAATAATAATATTAATAATAATAATGGCTGCATGTATCAAGCACTCACCGTGTGCCAGGCACCTGCTAAGTGCTTCGCAAACATTGTGGGTTGAGTCTTCTTCAGCCGACCAAAACCACGTTCCCGGACCCCCCAGTTCAGAACAGCATGTCCTGAGTGGTTTGGGCAAAGCATTAAAAATTAAGGCCGGTGCCCTGCCGGAGCGACACGGGGCCCGGCCTGCAGGTAGCTGAAGAGTGAGTGCTCATTCAGGGTACAAGGAACCTGACCTTGTAGTTGTAGCTTCAGTGACAAAAACTGCTTTAGCTAAAGCCCCAGCGGTTCAGGCAGAACTGGTGTCCAGCCCAGGGGTCTGTCTGGGTCCTCTCAGCTCTTATTTTGAAGGAGGAAAAGCAGCTCTGACTTTGGTGGGGAGGCCCAGCTTCGGCCCAGGCCTCCACCAGGGCCCTGTCCCCCACCCCTCCCCCCGGCCCATGCCCTCCCTGCTGTGGGTAACCTCCACCAGGCCACAGGGCAAGGCAGGCCTCCCAGTGCTTGTCCCGTCATGCTAATAATAGCAGAGCCTCCGCTGCTGCCCCTGCGCCTGAGCTCCCCCCGTGGCTGTCCGGGGGGGTGGGGGGCTTCTCGGTGCCCGGCTCTCGTGGCTTTGGGCCCCGCTCCCTCGGTGACTAGAATAGGTCGGTGATGTCTTTCCTTGTGTTGCTTTTCCACGTAACAGAATTGATGTAGGAAACCAAACCCAGGAGTGTGTGTGTGTGTGTGTGTGTGTGTGTGTGTGTGCGTGTGCGTGTGTGCGTGCTGGAGACGGGACACACACCCCGTGTCCCCTCGTGGTGTGTCAGTCTGTGCGACCAATAAAGTGCCTTTCTCACCCAGCTCCCGTCCGTGTGGCAGTTCTTCCTGGCGCCCGACCACAGGCAGCGCCTCTAGGCCGTCCAGGCTGCGGAGCGGCGGCGAGGGAGGGCAGGCCAGGGTGCTGAGGTTAACCGTGGCGATGGGCCAGCACTGTGCTGACCAGAGGGGACTGCTTGGACCCAGTCTGAAGTTCCGCCTGGACCCAGAACGGCTGTAGACGTCACGCGTGTTTGCGTGACTCAGGGCACCTGCAGCCACCCCAGTTCTGCCAGTGTCATCCCCTCGCTCACCACCTGCTGTCCTGCAGTCCCACGTTCCTCACGGCTTGTGGGACTGTTGGTCGCTAAGCTCCAAGGACAATGAACACATATAAACAATGCTCAGGTCTCGGGCCTCCGGCTCCCAGCGTTCTCAGGCAGCTTGCCCTGTCCACGGGTTCGGGAGAGGCCCCCAGCCCGAGGGGCCGGGGCGGGTGCTGCTTGGCTTCACCCAGTGTGCCTTGGGGGCCTTGGCCTGGGCTGCCGTTGCCCCCATCTCCAGCTCCTCGGCCCCCGCTCCGGTTGAGACGCCGCACAGAGCTTAAAGGAGCAGTGCTCTGGGCAGCCACGGGGCAGCCCGCTCACTGCCCTTCAGCAATGGCCCCTGGAGACTGGCAGAGACAGGACTGGGCACCCGCTGCCACCTGAGCCCCTCCCCCGCTCAGACAGGATGCCCGAGCCCGCAGGCTCCCTTCCTGGTCCCCACACACACAGCCTGACCAAAGTGCCTCGGCACCAGCCTTCTGACTTCATAGGCCGAGGGCGGGGGTGGAGGCACAGCTTGAGATGCCCTGACATCCTTTAAGCCGATCCCCCAACATCCATCCTCTGCCCCTGAGGAGCAGGGCATGGATGCCTGGGCTGCCAGGGTGGGCTGGCATGCGGGGGACGAGAGCAGAGAGCCCAGAACAGACCTCAGGCCCTCCACGCCATTTCTGGGGTGAGCGGCAGAGTGGGGTGCACGCTGGGCTCCCTGTCACCTTCGGTCCTGAGCTCCAGGGGCCTGGGCGAGCTCAGTGCCCCTCGTGCCTCTCGCCGAAGCGCCAACACAGGTGCAACCACGCAGGACCCTGACTTTCTCTGATTTACCCTTTATTTTGATTTTTTCTTCCCTTTGACTCAAACTGGCTGCACCGAGCACCCCGACTCACCCACCTCCCTCTCCCTTGCTGAACCGTTAAGCCCTCAGGGCAATGAGGTTCTGGTCAGCATCCAGCAGTCTTAGGAACAGGGTCCTGGGTCCGCTGGCTGTAGCGGCAGAGATTTTCAATCAAACTAAAGACTCTGTCTTGGCCTCAGTGGTGCTTTAGCTCCAGACCCGGGAAAGCAGAACAATCCCCAAAACAGGCCCTGGCGGAGCTGCACAGAGCCGCTCCGTGGCTGAGGTCGGGACCAGACGCAGTGAAGGAGTGACCACCTGCCGTCCCAGCACCAGCCCGTCAGTAGAGGCCTTGACCTTTTACCCTGTTAGTCACCGTGATTGATGATGTTTTCCCTCTGTCATCCACCCCCTGGAAGCCATCGGGGCCAGGTCTTCAAGCATGAGCTGCCTGTGACTCCGGGCACGGCATCATCTCCTCAAGAAATCTTCTCTTGGCTGCAAACTCCGGTTGGTGTAACGTTGGGTTTTGATGCCCGCAGGCGAACGGCCCCCTTCTGCTGGGTAGCACAGGCTGTGCGAACGCCAGCAAGACTCCGTCTGTCAGCTGACGGATGGCAGGGCCCACCGCAGCGCCTGGGACCGGGGGCAACCCTGCAAGACTGAGAAACTCTCACCCTTGTCCTTTTAACCGTCCTGCCCTGCGCCCGCTCCTCAAGGTCTCTGACCCCCTCGGTCCCCGAGTTCCGGCTGCCACTGCCCACTGGGGCCCACTCCAGCCAGACTTCTCTGCCATCTCTGCTTTGCTCCCCGTCCTAGGCCTCCCAATCACCCCTACAGCAGGATGAGGAGGGACCCCAGAAATTGCCACCTGTTTATCACCAACGTTACAGACAGTCCCCGACTTAGGGTGGTTCGGTGGTGAAACTTAGGATTTTCTGACTGCACAAAGGTGTGGAAATGGTACACATTCGGTAGAAACTGTGCTTTGGATCTTGAATCCTGGTCTGTCCCACGGCCAGGGACACGGGGGCCAGCCGCAGCTCCCAGCCAGGTGCGCGACCTCAGGGTTAAGTAGCCACGGCTGTGTTGCTTGTGGCTTTTGGATGTTGCGTTCTGAGCACCTTCAAGGTGGGCGAGGCGAAGCTATGGCGTTCAGTAGGTGAGGGGTATTAAATGCACTTTCAACCTATGATATTTTTTAAAAGATTTTATTTATTCATTTTTAGAAAGAAGGGAAGGGAAGGAGAAAGAAACAGAGAGAAACATCCATCAGTTGCCTCTTACACGTGCCCCACTGGGGACCGAACCCACAACCTAGGCATGTGCACTGACCAGGAACTGAACCAGCAACTTTTCACTTTGCAAGACAACTCCCAACCAGCTGAGCCACACTGGCCAGGGCTTGACTTGTGATGTTTTCAATTTGCAGAGGATTTTTGGGGATGTAACCCCACTGTAGGTCGGGGAGCATCTGTATTTCACGCCAGCTTTTCCTCGCCAGCTTCCTAACCAAGCGGGCGGACTGTTGAACGAGCCCTCCTCACCAAGGGCCCCCCACTCCTGAGACTGCAGAGGCTGCTACAATTACTTGTTTTAAGAAGCAATTTTTTCCTTCTCTGCATGATTCCCAGAACGCAGGTTTTGTGCCAACAGGAAGGTGTCGTTCTGCAGTGGATATTTCCTCGCAGCAGCTGGCCGGGCCCGGGGCCCCCACCCTCCCCGGCACCCCCGCTGTCCCGGAGGGCCACTCCCCAGGGACAACCAGCCTGCAGGCTCCTCCTCCGTCCTGGGCTCCAGTTCTCTTTCCGCTCGGATAGGAGGGAAATTAGGGAGCCTTTCAGAATAGCGCTCTCCCACAGCTACCTTCCCTAAGCCCAGCCCACAGGTTCTCCCTTCGCGGGTCCTTAAAATAGCTCCTTTCTCTCCGCAAACTGATTTCCATGGAGACCCAGCTCTCTGGGGGCAGAAGCATGCTCCAGGCAGCAAGCCCGCGCCCCAGGCTTCCCTCCAGCCGGAAGGGAGCCTCTGGGAGGCAAACGCCTGGTCTCACCCACAGAGACCCCCCAACCCCCGAGGACCCTTGTGGGGGCATCTGCTCCAGGCCAGAACACCACGGGCGGGGAGAGGCCAGGACGGTCACCGCCCTGTTCTGTCCCGTCTGGGCAGCTGTCTGCGCCCGTCAGCTCTCTCTCAGGCCACAGCCCAGGCTCGTCTGTCCCTTTATCCTGGCCTCATTCCCTCAGCACGTGCCTGCTGACGGCTCGTTCCGGGCCTTGGGAGTCCTCGCATTTAGGAAGGAGGCCTTGGGCGGGGCAGGGGTGGCACAGCCTGGGCTGCGGGGTCAGACAGAATGGGGTTTAAATGTCTCGTTTGCCATTCTCTAAAAGCATGAACTCACACGGGGCACTGAGGTGTTCTGAGCCTCAGCATCCTCATCTCTAAGGGGGGGAGCGGGGTGCCCTGCGGGGGGTGTGGTTGTGTGACCCCATGAGCCCTGCAGACTCGCTGGGCTGGCCTGGCCTGCGGCGCCAGCACAGGAACTGCAGCCCCGCCCTCCCCTGGAACTCTGACGGGGGTGGGGAAGGCCGGGGGCAGCCCTGAGGGGGGCGGAGGCTGGAGGTGCCTGAACAGAGCCTTCGGGCTCTGTGGGAGGGTCCCGGCAGGAGGCAGGTGAAGGCCTCCCAGGTATGGGCAAGGCCCTGACACAGGCAAGGCCAGAAATCAAGGGGCAGGTTGAGGCTGGTAAAGTCTTCAAGACAGGAGGCATTAGGGGGCTAGTTGAGGCCAGGTGAACTAGTTGAAGCCAAGGAGAAGCTAGCTGAGGCCAGAGAAACCAGGTGAGTTTAAGGGTACTAGTTAAGGCCGGGGGACTAGCTGAAGCGGGTAGCTGAGACAGGGCGTGGGGGGTGGGGGGGGGGCTGGTTGGATCGCTTTAGTCACAAGATCAGAGCCGCTCAGATAGCCTGAGCGGGGGCAGTGAACCCTGGGGACACGCAGGAAGTGCTTGCACAGGGACCCAGCTGTGCTTCCCGGTGGAGGGGGTGGCAGTGCTGGCCAGTGAGCGCCCCTTGCCCTTCCGACGCGCGGTGGCAACCTGGGGACCCACACATGGCGGCTCTGGGCCCTCGGCAGTTCTGCACCAGCCTGTCCCCGTGGGGCTCGGCGCCAGCACTCCTGCCTCTCCCTCCGCCGGCCTCTTCCGTCTTCCCTCGCCGAGTAAGTGACTCACGGCCCACGCGTCCTCCCGCAGGACTCGAGTGGACAGTGACAGGCTGCTCCGTGCTCAGGAAGGTCCACATTAGGGTGAGGCAGGTGAGGTGCTGGGAACGAAAGGGAAGGGGCGCTCACTCTCAGGTGCCCAACTGAGCTTGCACGGTCTTACACATGGCACCCCGACGCCTCACCCCGGCCCCAGCCCGCAGAGCAGGTTGTGGGGGGGAGGAGGGGCAGCTCTGGATGCCAGGAGGAGCTGCATTCCTGTGAATGACAAGGGGCCATGCTCTGCACAGCCCTGGCAAGAAGCGGGCAGGGGTGGGGGGCAGACAGGGGACATCCTCCTTTGCATTATGTGGAACTGAGTTTTTGTGCATGGATGTAAACTGAATCTTCATGCCAATTTCCAGCTTATCCCCAGAAATTGTCTTGCTCCAGTTCTGTTTTCTTTTTTATTTTTAAAGATCTTATTTATTTATTTTTAGAGAGGGAAGGGAGGGAGATAGAGAGAGAGAGAAACATCAATGTGCGGTTGCTGGGGGTCATGGCTTGCAAGCCATGTATGTACCCTGACTGGGAATCGAACCTGCGACAGTTTGGTTCGCAGCCCGTGCTCAGTCCACTGAGCTATGCCAGCCAGGGCCTTCCAGTTCTTTTTTAAAGATTG